TCAAAAAGAGCTACTTTTGCTCTGCAAACTGTAAGTGCAATTCTATTTGTTATTGTTCTACTTTGCGTAAGATATACTACAATATATTGTGCAGTATTTTTCTGTTTTTACATATCCCACTACCTCTGAGAGTACACTTACCTTAAGAAATATATAAAGGTGCTACCCCCTCTATTTAGTTAATCACTCTCTTTTCCCAATTTAGGATGTTGCAAGGTGAAGAGATCTTGTAAATTTGTCAGTCATGCCCAATGCACATTTCAAGCATCCCCAGGGAGAGAACATTGATTGGTTAGATCAGGGTCTTCTTTCAAGTGCGTTTTCAAAGCATAAGAAAGATGAAGCAGGAAAATATGAAGAATGAAACTGATATTTTCCTGCTTGTTTTCAGCCTACCCAGTGAGACAACTGTCTCATTCAAACTTAAAGCTTTTGAAGGAGACAGTTGCCTCAACATGATCCATGTTCATTTAAGTAGGTCTATTTTATAAAAATATATACTTGTGTGTGGTAAAGTTCAGTTACCACTCTAATACTTATATGCAACAATTTGAAAACTTTATTCTAAAACATTATTATGCTTATTTTAGATATAACCTCTATATTTTTGCATGTGTTCATTTCCTTGATTAGATTTTTAAATGCAGAAAAATAGTGGGGCGTGGCCTGGCTACTCACGAGAATGGACGCGTGAGAGATCAGCTCTGACGGGGGTAGTACAAAATAGCAGCGATTATCCTAGCATACCTGACAAAAAAACCCACACACACCAGCACAGGTGAGACCTGCACCGATTATGTCCCTACGCACAGCGAAAAAGGCAAAACTCCGACCAGCGGAGCTGCAAATAGCGGCACTCACACCGCCGCGAGGGAAACCTCAAAATGGCGCCGAAGGCCCTAACTCACCCACTGCCTACTCCGAACGGAGTGACAGCACTTCAATATCCATAGAGCCCACCATACCAGCCTCAGAGACGGCAATGCAGAGAATGATGCAAGAACTGCAAAATAACTTGCAGGCTGAATTCTCCAAACTTGCCAGAGACGTCCGCACGGATATTAAAGCGATATGTGAGCGCACTGCACAACTGGAAGAAAAGACGGACGAAATAATAGCAGCACACAATAATCTTGCCTCAGGATATGATTCATTCGACGCAAGACTGAATGCACTTGCAGCAAAAGTGGCGGATCATGAGGACCGCGACAGGCGAAACAATATCCGCCTGCGCGGTATTCCTGAGGACGTTAAACCCGCTGAGCTTCAAGATTACGCCACGGAGCTATTCAAAGCTTTATGTCCTGAGCTAAAGGCTGAAGAACTACATCTAGATAGAATACATCGACTACCGCGCCCTAAATTTCTTGCTCCCACAGCTCCACGAGATGTGTTGACGCGGGTTCACTATTTCGCAGCCAAGGAAAAAATTATGAGAATAGCTAGAAACCCAAGCACAATGCCGGAAAAATTCACAGGTATCCAGCTCTTCACAGATCTATCAGCGGCTACATTAGCGAAGCGCAAGGAATTCACGTCTTTCACAGCAGCTATACGAAACGCAGAGCTCCAATATAAATGGGGATACCCCACCCGCCTCATAATAAGGAGAAATGGAGTGGAGCATCAAGTTCACACAGAACTAGAAGGTCTACGTCTTCTTCAAGAATGGAATCTCCCTATACCCACACAAGGCGGACGTGCCGAAGATGGGACCCACCGACAATCTTCAAAGATGGTTACTAAAGATTGGCTTACGGCATCCAACTACAAGTGAAGGACATTTCCCTGTCCATTTAAGCATAGCAGAACTATACTCTTGCACACATCGCCTGACGACACGTGAGCATTTCTCACTGCTTGAAGGCAGTCCATATGCATGAGAATCGTGTTGCTTTATTTAGTTGTCTCATTTATTTATGTTTTGATTACGTATATTTTGTTGATGCTATAACGTTTATTAGGACAGTTGATCCAGATTTAGGAACAAGGCGGTCCAGAATCAGAAGGGTAAAATACACACGCACATGACTACCCTCCCCCCATTCAGGCTCTAAAGGGCCACGAAATTCTACCAGACGGCAGATACCTCAAATCTGCAAGTCACATTGTACATAGTTGCCCTCGGGCACTTAATTACCCTGTACCCTTCTTTTCCTTCCCCAATTCCTTCGAGGTATCTCACAGTAACTTTGGATGTTCACGTTTGTAGACTAATCGCACAAGCAGAATACAATAACCGACTATATCGAACACATAAGATTTATGCACGATATATTCATATTCACATTACTGCGCCACAGGGAAAAACTCACATAGAATCTAATTTTGAGAATCTCTACGATTTAATAAGACATGAAAGAACTACGATTGCCTGGGCACCGTTTAAACAAGCCACCATCAGGTTATTGCTCCACATTCTTCAACAATGTTCCAAAGTGTATCTAGCACCCTGTGAGGCACAACAAAGATGACTCTTAAAATATTATCACTAAATGTTAAAGGTCTTAACTCCCCTCACAAAAGGAGACTCACACTAACCGAAGCTACTAAACTTAAAGCCCAAATTGCTTTTTTCCAAGAAACCCACTTCCTTAACACTAATGTGCCCAAATTCACTTCGAAACAATTTCCCTTAGGGTTCCATGCAGGATATACCAAAAAAAAAAGAGGCGTATCTATCTTAATACATAAGGATGTTAACTTTAAACTCTGCAAGAAAGTTAGAGACAAAGAAGGCAGGTTCCTTCTACTTCATTGCACTATAAATGATGACCCATTCACACTATTGAATGTATATGGCCCACATGAAAACCAAAAAGACTTTGTATCCAAAATCATATCCTTGGCCCACAAATTCCCTTGTAACAACTTGATCATTGGGGGTGACACCAATTTTATACTTGATAGCGCAGCCGACACAACTTCCACACATACAGTAAATCACTCAACCTCGCGAAAACGCACCCATACTACACAACAAATAAGGCAGACGATACAGGGAGCAGGCCTTCTAGATATATGGAGGATATTCCACCCATCTGAAAAAGATTTCACCTTTCACTCACAGGTCTACAACTCATACTCCAGAATAGACAGGTTCCTATTACCCATTGCCATGACCCGTAAGGTCTGCAGTGCCCAGATAGGGACGATGACATGGTCCGACCATGCACCTATACTACTCACGCTACAGGAACATTTCCCACATAAAGGCCAGGGTACATGGAGAATCAACGAAACATTACTACGTGACCCACACATAGTTAAAAGCATCGAAGATGACACTTTTACCTTCTTTGACCTCAACGACACGGGGGAGACTTCTATCGATACAAACTGGCAAGCACATAAGGCAGTGATCCGAGGAAGCCTGATTAAACATGCTAGTTATAAAAATAAACAAAGAAATGCTAAATTTACCGACCTCATAAAACAAATCACGGAGTTGACCCACGCGAACAAACTAAACCCTTCTCAAATGCATTACGATACCCTTACAACTTTACAAATGCAATTAAGGGACATAGAGACAGAGAAAACTAACTACATTTTACACAAGCATCGACATAAATTTTTTGCACATGGTAACAAGTCTGGCGCTGTGCTTGCAGCTAAGCTCAGAGAGCGCTTACCGAACTCCAAAATAGCCTACCTACTGACAGCTGACAAACAAAAAATCCTACACCCGCAACATATTGTAGACGAATTTGCAAAGTACTACAGTACTTTGTACAATCTCAAAGAGGCAGTGGGTACACACGTCCCCACTCCCGCCCAGATTCAGGATTTTCTATCCAAAATCAATCTACCTACTCTCACAGACGAGGAAATAGCACAGATCACAAGCACATTCACAGACTCAGAGGTGGCTGCAGTGATCACTAAATTGCCCACACATAAATCTCCGGGTCCCGACGGTTTTACGAACCTGAACTACCAAACATTTACAAAGGCACTACTCCCACATATGACACAGCTTATAAACCCTTGCTACACCAATGGTTGTATGCCGAAAGAGATGCTTCAGGCGCATATTTCCACATTGCCAAAGCCAGGCAAACCTGCCGATATATGCCCAAATTTCCGACCCATATCCCTCTTGAACTGTGATACCAAGATTTATGCAAAACTGATAGCAGAGAGACTGAAAGAAATACTGACGCGTATTGTCCATAATGACCAATCAGGTTTTGTTAAGCAGAGACAAGGGTCTGACAACACTAGAAAAATACTAAATATTTTAGCTCATATGGAAACCCATCATATGGAAGGTCTTCTCCTCGCGCTAGACGCGGAAAAGGCCTTCGACAGACTAAATTGGCATTACATGGAACAAGTGTTGCTCAAATATGGTTTCCCACCATCCTTTATCAATGGAGTCATGGCGTTGTATAAACAACCTTCAACTAGAGTCACAAACGCAGGCTTTATCTCGAGCCCATTTACTATCACGAATGGGACAAGGCAGGGATGCCCACTCTCACCCCTTTTGTTTGTGCTCTCCCTCGAACCCCTAGCACACATAATCAGAAACCACGCTCATATTAGGGGTGTACGGGTGGGAACCGATGAATTTAAATTGGCTATGTTCGCTGATGACATTTTCATAACCCTGGCAGATCCGGACGAATCCCTGTCCTGGCTCCTGGGCATTCTCGAGGAATACAGTAGGGTCTCTTATTATAAACTTAATCAATTAAAGACCCAAGCCCTACCTATTAGGTTACAAACGGTGATGGTACAATCATTGAAACACAAACACAAATTTGACTGGAGAACTACCCACATAACATATCTGGGAGTGAAAATAGCACCCACACTTAGAGGAATTAGCACACTCAACTTTTCCTCGCTCCCACAACTATGCCAACAATCTTTGCACAAATGGAAAGATGTGTGGTTATCCTGGCTTGGAAAAATTAATGCTGTAAAAATGGTGATTCTTCCCAAGCTTTTATATGTATTTAGGATGCTTCCTCTCCCCTTGTCCGCCACAGTAGGCAAACAACTACAGCGTCTAATAAACAATTATATTTGGGAATATAAGAGACCACGCATCCCGAGTATACTGCTACAAATCCCGGTGAACAGAGGAGGGACAGGTCTCCCTAATATTGCACTTTACCACAAAGCCGCACTACTAGAAGCAGCAATTAAACTGCATGCCCCCTCACATACATTCCAATGGGTAGACATGGAGAATGATTATTTTCCGTGTTCCTCAGTGGTAGACGTACTGTGGATGCCCAGACACCTCAGGGATAAGAACACCTTAATGCTCCCTACCTCTAGACTCACACTCCAAATGTGGGATTACCTCCATAAACGACATGCGAGCACTACAAAATTTTCTTCATGGGCTCCGATAACAACGCTACATTCCATCTCTCCGTGGTTATCTTTACATAAATGGAAAGACAAGGGCATCACTCACATCACAGATATATGTCAACAAGGGACCATTTTACCCTTCCCTGATATCCAACTCAAGTACACTCTACCGCCCAACTACATATTCCCATACCTTCAACTCAAAAGCATAATTAAAGAAAAGGTACAAACCCTGACCCAACATGCTCCCGCCCCAAACCTTGATCTTATCGCTATATATAATAGGTGCCAAAAAACACCAATAAAAGCTAAAGCTTTATCCCTTGGATACGCCGCCTTAGGGCAACATCCCCCACTGACGAATTTCGCTTTTGCACTCCAATGGCATTAAGAAGGACTTCCACAGCTCACTAATGTTCAATGGCTAAGATCACTTGGGGCACTCAAAGGCGTTACCTCATGCTACACCCATATAGAGGCACATAAGAAACTTATGTATCGGTGGTACCTCACACCTCACAAGCTACAAAAAATTTACCCAGCCACCACAAACACATGTTGGTGATGCACTAACGACATAGGGACGATGAGGCATATCTGGTGGGACTGCCCAAATATCTCCCCAATGTGGACTGAAGTCCAACGACTGGGCAATTCTTTAGGAATATTGAATGGAATTCTAACACCTACTATTGGTCTGTTCCTATTGTTGCCTGCTCAAATTTCTGCACAGGACAAACAACTACTGATTATACTAATACTGGCAGCGCGCAATCTCATTGCATGCCACTGGAAACAACAGATTTGCCCGACTCCACAGCAACTACTCCACAAAACACAACAGTATCTGAGACATGAGATGCTGATTAGATCGACACCTAGTCGTAGAAATATCACACATAATAACTGGCAACGTTGGAGCATCTACACAACCGACAGTCAGAACCCAGGGTAACTTATCATAAACACATAGGCCACTATACATGCCGAGACGGCCTTAAACACAAACATGATGTACGACGCACGACCTACAACAGAATGGATACACATTTGTAGGTGTTAACGACTGCTCAAGGTGTTATTTCTGCAGCTAATTATTTGTAACTACTACATTGTAACTATCTAATACTTGTGGATACCCCCCCCCCCTTCTTCCTTTCTGTACCCCCACATGGTTGCTTTGAAAACGCAATAAAATACGAATTTGAAAAAAAAAAAAATGCAGAAAAATAGTCTAGAATTTGCCTTTGGAGATTAAATATCACACCTTGCACTAATTTATCTTAAAATTCTAGGTCAGTATAAAAGGGAAGATATCTCACTGAAGGTGCCTGAGAATACAATTAAGGATTCTGTGAGAGCTTACGTAACAGTTTTGGGTAAGTGGAAACTGCATCAGGAAGTATGACTGATTGGCTGAAAATTTCTCAGAATTTGGGCATGATAAGAATAGAAGTGCAAAAATAATTTGAACATATTTACTTCTATCTAACTCTCATCTGATAATCTACTAATTGAATTTGCTCTGTACTTGTAACTTCACTATCCCCATCAAACAGTGGATGCATGTTGATGTGTTTTGAATATGAAGATCTTCAAAAATAAAAACTTTCATTAAAGGGCTATTTGTATTAAAGGGACACTATAGGCACCCAGACCATTTCAGTTCATTGAAGTGGTCTAGGTGCATTGTCCCTGTGCCCTTTACCCTGCATTGTAAAACATTACAGTTCTAGAGATATTGCTCATGTTCATTAGGTTCCCGTTTGGTGCTGATGTTTTAGGAGGTGAAGGCGTAGCGAGCTGAAATAAGGTAAGTGAATTCAATGGTTATTTAACCCTCTGATTGCTGCCATCTTCCTCTGTCTGTTCCTCTTCAGGTCCTGGCGCATGCATAAGAGTACATCATTGAGGTCTATGGAGGATACAGGGAGACTGCAGGAACCTCCATACACAGAGTCAATTCCCTGCATCCATCGCTAATGATGGAGGTTGGAAGTGACACTGTAGCTCCTCCCAGAGTCTAAACAAGTCAGCCTCAAGAAATATACAAAGACAATGTAGCCTTTACTTTGTATTTTTATCTCTCTTGACTGGGTTGAAATTTCTGTGAGATTCCAACACAGTCAAAATGAGTATTTCATAAAATGCTATATTTTTATGAAATATCCATTTTTCAGGTGGTATAGATCTTGCTACTTCTCAATTCTCTGCCATTCAGGAGTTAAATCTCTTTTGATTCTGTTTATGCAGCCTTAGCTACACCTCCTCTGGCTGTGACTAACACACCCTGCATGAAAGCATGGTTTCCTTTTCCATCAGGTGTTAACTTGCTTTAAATATTATCTCCTGCACTTTAAATTGAGCTTTAATCACACACAGGTGATTCATGCAGTGTTTAGGAAGCCATTAACAAAGCCAGAGATATGAAATTCTAAATTAAACAGACTGTGAAATAAAAGAAGAGTAAACATTAGATCTCTTTTTACAGGAAGTGATTAGGAAGGCTGTACAAGTCACATGCAGAGAGGTGTTATTAGGGCTGTAAACGTGATTTAAATCATAAATGACAGATAATAGAACAGTAAAATTGCATAGGCATGATCAATACATTAAAACTGCTTCATTAAGCTAAAGTTCTTTTGGTACCTATAGAGTCCATTTAAGTGAAGAGTTTGACACTATAGTTTGTCTTCTCTGTTTATTGTATATCTCAGTGGATAGACAGATTAAATGTCTTTCCATTTGGTATTTCACTTTATATGATGCACTTTTGTATCTTAGATGTTTTTCATATATTTAACTCCGGCCTCCTTCTTTTCAAAGCACTATACAGATTTACCTCCTACGGATTAATGCTCATGTTTCCTTTTAGCCACATAATCCCATAGTCTGAAAACAGACATGCATCAATCAAGTTCATTCTTTCTCACACTTGTTTTTTTTTTCATATTAATCCAAAAGAAGGCAAGAAACCAAGTTTGAAGAGCTTTGCAATTTTGCAGCAAACAAGGAAAAAATATTTCTCGACCCTGCAATGACAGTCAGATGGGTCAAGAAGCTGTTACCCCACCTATTAAAAAAACTATATTCCTGAATATTATTTGTATTCATATAGTTGCTGTTTAAACATTTGTACAACCATTTCCTTTGCCTTAGACTAAATCTCCTTTCTTCCAGTCTAAATTTTAAAACAATGAATTTATGTGGCGCAAAATTAGTGGAATAATTTTATCTTCATTTATTTGGGGTTTGTCGTCTATAGGAGATCTGATGGGAACAGCCCTGCAGAACCTGGACAGATTGCTGGCCATGCCATATGGCTGTGGGGAGCAAAACATGGTGCTCTTTGCTCCCAATATCTTCATTCTACAGTATCTTGAAAATACTCATCAGTTAAATAATAAGATCCTGAATAAAGCCAAGACGTTCCTAGAAAGTGGTGAGGAACAAGAACAACAACATTTTCTTTGTTTAAGGTTTTTGTTTTTATTTTCTACTCCATTGTCATAACCTTGTTGTATCCAGCTATCTTTGCATTTTATGATTTTGGGTCCATATTTTGTAATTCATAACACTGATAAATAATTTACTTATTATTATTATTATTATTTATAATGGGCCAATAGATTGGTGGACTGAAAAACAAGTAGTTGAAACCAGACAAGATAGACACACAGGAACAGTGGGGTTGAGGACCCAGCTTGATGAGTTTATATGCTAGAGGTAGTGGTGTATAGTGACACAAAAGGTAAGGGTAGAATAGAAAACTATGTTGCTAGAAAAGTATTCATTGAGGGGTTGAGTGTTTTTTTTTTTTAATGACAGTTGCAGGAGAGGAATCATAGTGTGAGGAGGGAAAGCTGTTAACAATTTAATTGATATGCTGTCCTGAAGAAGTGAGTTTTCAATTATTATTTTTTTTGAAGGACTGGAGACTGGGTGAAAGTCTAATGGAGAAGGGAAGAGAGTTCAACAGGAACAGTGCAGCCCTAGAGAAGTCTTGAAGGCAAGGATTAGAGGTGGGAGTATGAGCAGAGGATAGATGTAGGTCTTTGGCAGAGCATAGTGGCCTAAATGGGACATTCTTGTGCATTAGAGAGGATAGGTAGGTTGGAGCATTGTGTAGAGACTTGAAAAACAAAGTACCAGAATTTTAAATTGAGCCCTATATGTAATGGGAATTTAATGCCGGAACTGACAAGGGCGGGGCATGGGAAGTACGGATGCAGAATGATGAGTCTCACCTCTGCATCCATTATAGATTATAACAGGCAAGTTGGGATCACATGAGACCACAGATAAATGGATTGCAGTAGTTAAGGTAAGAGAGGACAGTGGGTTGGACCAGCATCTTAGCCGTGTGCGGTGTTAAATAGGGGTAAATATGAGCTATGGTTTTGAGATTAAAGCAGCATGATTTGGTGATCGAGAGGACTTGAGGGCCAAAGGAGAGGTCAGAATCAAGGAGAACACCTAGGCAGCGAGCCTGCGATGTACAGCTGATGGTGGTGCTGTTGACTTGGAGGGAGAAAGACAGTGGGGTAACAACACACGAGGGAGGAAAAACAAGACATTCTTTTTTGGACAGATTAAGTTTAAGGACGTGAGCAGCCATCCAGTTAGAAATAGCAGAGAAGCAGTCAGAGACACAAGTCAAGAGGGGCGATGAGGAGAGGACAGATAGATTGCATCGTACCTGCATAGAAATTATATTGGAAACCAAAGTAGCGGATGAGTTTACCAAGGGAAGCAGTATAGATTGCGAACAGTAGTGGACCAAGGACAGAGCCTTGGCGAACCCCAACAGAGTGGGGTTGTAAAGAAGAGGCCGAGTCACTGAAAGAGCGCTGAGAGAGGTAGGAAGAGCACTAGAAGAGAGCAGTATCTTGTAGACTGAAATTACGGAGTATGAGAAGAAGCTGTTGATGATCAAGAGTGTAAAAAGCAGCAGAAAGGTCAACGAGAATTGGGATAGAATAGAGTCCATGGGATTTTGCAGCGATTAGATCATTGGATACTTAAGTCACCGCTGTTTCTGCAGAGTGATGAAGCACATGTGTAATTTAATTTATTGATTGTTTTAGGGTACCAAAGAGAGCTCACCTACAAACATGGAGATGGATCATACAGTGCCTTTGGGGAGAATGATCAGGAGGGAAACACATGGTAAGTGATTAATTACTCAGGATAGGTTAGTGGGAAAATATACTAATGAAGTAATAAGGCAAAGTCATATTTGCTCCAGTAAAGAAATCTTTTTTGATGAATTTACATAGTTACATAGTTACATAAGCTGAAAAGAGACACGTATCCATCCCTAGTTCAGCCTTCCTTACATCTGTTTTTTGCTGTTGATCCAAATGAAGGCAAAAAACCCAGTCTGAAGCACTTCCAATTTTGCAACAAACTGGAATGGCAGTCAGATTTAACATAATGAATATTATGTTTTTGCAAGTATGCATCTAGTTGCTTTTTAAACAATTTGTCTCAGTCCCCACATTTTACATAATTTAAATAATTTCTTCTAACTTCACTTCATCCTACAGGTTGACTGCTTTTGTAGTAAGGTCTTTCAGTAAGGCCCGTCCCTACATCTTCATTGATGAAAGTCAGCTAACTCATTCTAAAACTTGGTTGAGAAACCACCGCAAAGACAGTGGCTGTTTCCGTAATGTGGGAAAACTCTTCCATACCGCAATGAAGGTAACAAAGGCTTCTTTAAGATTGAAAATATGCTGAAATTAAAGAAAACAATAAGAAATGTATTAAATACTATCAGAGTATAATTTTTGAGAAAATAATAGGAATACTTTTTAGAGATAGATAGTGAAATGAAAATATCATGTTAAACAAATGCAAAAAAAGAAAAGATAGCATACATTAGCTCAATAATCACATGTAGACAACTAACTCAAAATTAACTGCAAAGTAAAATAAGTAACACATTCCCCAGATAGATGGCCATAGTCAGAGGAATGAAACCAAGTTCATATGCTTATATAAATAAGAGGTCCTTGTAATGTTTTCATAAAGGGCTGGAGTCTAGGGAGAATGTCTCATGGGATGAATTACATTAATACTGGATAGCTATAGAGAAGTGTTGGCAGGAGTTGGAGGTGCAGGCATTAATACAGGAAAGGCAATGGGGTCAATGGAAGAGCAGAGAAAGTGAGAAGAATATATATATAAATAAATCCTCAGAAACAGAGAAATCCAATGCTTACGGAGTGAAAATAGCAGTAAAAGGCAAAAAGTAATATAATATGAAGAAAAAAGACAGCGTAAGAACGGAATATCTGATTTATATCAGTAGATGGTAGATAATGCAATTTAAAATAAGATTATGATATTATGATTAGACTATACAATAAGTTGCGAGTAAACCGAATGTCACAAAAGTTAACAACTATGTCAACGTAACTATAATAATCCTGAGCATAGACATCTGCAAGTTAAAGTGCCAAGCTTAATATTAAATAAAACAGAATAACACAAGGCACTCACCATTTAAGCCAATATGTTGCAAATTCCATGCAGGAGGCACAGGCACAAAAAGGGAACAAAGGATCACAAAGTAGAAATAATAAAACACATAACATATAGGATGGCCTACTGCTACAGCAGCATAAGAAATACACTGGAATAGTGGCTAAAATATATACTATAATTGGGGATTTTATATTTAATGTAATCATAAATATTACAATTTAACCCCTTAAGGACCAAACTTCTGGAATAAAAGGGAATCATGACATGTCACACATGTCATGTGACCTTAAGGGGTTAAAGACATAACGTTTACTTTCCTTATTAATGGAAAGGAACATTTTCCATTGCCAGGTACATGACTAAGTAGCAAACTAAGTAAAAAAAGAAAACTGAAATAAATAAATGTAAATAAATCTTACTATAACTTATTTTCAATGGTGTATAGTAACCTTCCAAAATGAATATCCCCTTTATTGGTTGTTGTGATTGCCACCTTTTGGATTTATTCATTCCCAAAAGGGATTAAATGGTGGTGTAAATTCATTAAACTAATAAAGCGTTTACGATTTTTTGGATTAAATCAAATCGATAGTGAAACTAATTTTGTAATTCTGGCTAAACCAAAACTTATTGACTGAACCCAGACAAACCAAAATGAAAATTCTTTCAATTAACATCTCTAATAGATACCTTTACTAGAGCATGTAGTTTCATTTTTATGATGACGATTGTGTTACAGGGTGGAGTGGATGATGAAATTTCTCTTACGGCTTATGTAACAATGGCTTTATTGGAGTCAGATGTACCACCAGAGGTAAGTTATTCTTGAGATACTTAGGTGTCTCAAAAATGTATGCTCTGCTTATTGGCTATTTTTATATAAAAAAATGAAGGGTCAATTTACGATGGCCCAACTCTGTTGTTGGTTTGTTTGTTTGTTTTTTTACTTGTGGTGAAACAAATTTATTCCAAATTGATACTTGATCACATTTGTCTGCTAATACAAAAGAATAAAGACTGCAAAACTGCTCCATGGTAGACAAAAGAAGCACAACCCCATTCCCTATTTGTTAGATGGGATTGCTTTTTTTCTGTTCAAGAGAGATGATTTTATGTGGGGGCGGCAGGGGGGGTGTAAATCCTTTGCCTTCTGGGACATACTATCAAGGTCAGACTATCTAGTGTGTCATTGTAAAAAAACAAAACTTCTATTACCCTAGCAGACTTATGTGATGATGAATGGGAAAAGAAATAACACATACATTACAGGCACCTGATCCTAATAACTATAAGGACAGAGAAAGTTGAACCATTCTGCCACTCAAAGTGTACTGCTTATCCCCCTAAATAGTAGTGTGTATGCCCATTCCCTTTCTCTGAAGGAATAACCCTCCCTCCCTCACCCACTAGCTACATATTCTCAAGCCAGTTACAACCAATGCATCTAAACATCCACCACAAATCCAAAATGACAATAATATCACTTTAACTCTTTTACATTTTTGAGGAGGAGGAATACAACACAATGACCTAACAAAATCTTGTTTGAAGATCTTTTTTTTTTTTTAAATTAAGTTGTAAAAACATGACAAAAAGTCAAAAAAAAATGTTAAAAAACAACTCCCAATAACAAACTTCCACTAAAAAAACCAAAAAAACTAACAGAATTATATTTTATATAATTGCATTTCTTTACTTTCTCTCTTTCAGCATGTTTGCCATTTTGTGTGTTTTAATTTAGTCTGAAACTCTGTGGAGAGTGTTTGGAGTGCCTGCCAACATTGTACTGGAAATATTATCATATAATTTTCTGTTTCCTACTGTTTGCTCCACATATTATTTCAATGCAATTCTTGGTAATCCTAGAACCCTGTTGTGGCAGATGCTTTAGCTTGTCTGAGGAAGGCCGCTGTGGATGTAAATAACGTATACACACAGGCTCTCCTGGCTTATACTTTCACTTTGGCTGGAGACACAGATCTCAGACGACAACTGGTGGAGAAACTGGATAAACAAGCTGTGAGGAAAGGTGAGAGATGAGTATATAAAGAACTAATACAGAGTGATGTACAATAGAAGTTCAAAAGGCAATAAAAGGCACAGTAACTTAAGAAAAAAAACCTCTCAGTAGTGACTGATCCCCCACACTTCAATCAATATAAAGGAAAGTGATAAATAAAATGAGGTGGGCTCACATCCAATACTCATCAGCTTGTCAGTTTTATCAATCCTTTTTATGACAAAAATACAATAAAACATTAAAAAAACTAAAGAAAATCTTAGTGCAGGTTGGCTGATATAATCTAGTGATCAAAATATGTGTAAAAACCCATCTAGGGCAAGTACAAGTATAGAAACCACTCCAATATCACAATTTGAAATAATATAAGTAAAGGTGTATCCAACCATTATCATACAAAGGATAAATACAAACTGACAAGTATAGTCTATGAGCTCACCTCATTTTATTTATCACTTTACTGATTATGTAATGTATTTTCTGTAGATTTCTTTAGTCAAAGTATTTCTTTTAGACTCAAAAGGTAATCTTTTTCAAATTCAGTCCTTCATGGACTCATCGTGTGTTAATACTTAGATTAAACATGTATGTTAGCGCTACAAAAATTAGTTTGGATAACATATTTAAAGAATATGAACATGTAAACTTTTGTGAACTCAACAGATAAAGTAGAGTGGTCATGATACATATGTAACAAAATAAAATCCTATATAAATTCCATACATAGGACAATCCTGTGACACGGGAGAGTGGGAAAAACCATCCTATAGAGATTTCAATATTGCAGATGCTCTTATATTCCCCTGGCAAGTGTGCCTTGTTATTTGCCAAAGAAAATCATAGGAATGGACTGAAAGATGTCACTACATTCAGTTACCAAAGCGTGACAATAAAGCCACTATGTCAGCATTTTGGACCAGGTATACCATGCTTGGGGAAGTGTTCCTAAGATGGCCAATTGTGTGAGTAGTGGTTTAACACCCTGAACTGAAATATAGATTATGATGATGCTGACATTAGTCCAGGTTGTATTTTAAAAGAAAAGCAATACACACACACACACACACACACACACACACACATATTAGTGTAGATTGGAATAGCCATATTAGTCCAGTAGACAAGATGACAAGATGAATTGCTTCAGACCTGAGGAAGAGAGGAAAACTCTCAAAAGCTTGTCTTTGAAATATTATGTTAGTCCAAAAAAAAGGTATAATTGCATATTGCAATACTCTAGTATTTTGCATTATATATATATACACTGAACAAAATTACAAACACAACACTTTTTTGCCCCCATTTTTCACGAGCTGAACTCAAAGATCTCAAACTTTTTCTATGTACACAAAAGGCCTATTTCTCTCAAATATTGTTCACAAATCTGTCTCAATCTGTGTTAGTGAGCACTTCTCCTTTGACGAGATAATCCATCCACCTCACAGGTGTGGCATTTCAAGATGCTGATCAGACAGCATGCTTATTGCAAAGGTGTGCCTTAGGCTGGCCACAATTAAAGGCCACTCTAAAATGTGCCGTTTTACTGTATTGGGGGGCTACAAGGGGGTCCGAAAACCAGTCTGTATCTGGTGTGACCATCATTTGCCTCACTCAGTGCAACACATCTCCTTCGCATAGAGTTGACAAAGTTGTTGACTGTGGCCTGTGGAATGTTGGTCCACTCTTCTTCAATAGCTGTGCGAAGTTGATGGATATTGGCATTACCTGGAACATGCTGTCGTATATGCCGATTCAAAGCATCCCAAACATGCTCAATGGGTGACATGTACAGTGAGTATGCTGGCCATGCAAGAACTGGGATGTTTTCAGGTTCCAGAAAAAGTTTACAGATCCTTGCAACATGGAGCCGTGCATTATCATGCTGCAACATGAGGTGATGGTTGTGGATGAATGGCATAACAATGGGTATCAGGATCTTGTCACTGTATCTCTGTGCATTCAAAATGCCACCAATAAAATGCACCTGTGTTTGTTGTCCATAACATACGCCTGCCCATACCAAAACCCCACCACCACCATGGGCCACTCGATCCACAACATTGACAACAGCAAACCGCTAACCCACACAACACCATACACGCTGTCTGCCATATTCCCTGTAGAGTGAAAACCGGGATTTTTCTGTGGAGAGAACACCTCTCCAAAGTGCAAGACGCCATAGAATGTGAGCATTTGCCCACTCAAGTCGGTTACGATGGCGAACTGCAGTCAGGTTGAGACCCTGATGAGGACGACGAGCATGCAGATGAGCTTCCATGAGATGGTTTCTGACAGTTTGTGCAGACATTCTTTGGATATGCAAACCGATTGTTGCAGCAGGTGCCCGGGTGGCTGATCTCAGACGATCTTGGAGATGAAGATGCTGGATGTGGAAGTCCTGCGCTGGTGTGGTTACATGTGGTCTGCGGTTGTGAGGCCGGTTGGATGTACTGCCAAATTCTCTGAAACATCTTTGGAGACGGCTAATGGTAGAGAAATGAACATTCAATTCATGGACAACAGTTCTGGTGGACATTCCTCTAGTCAGCATGCCAATTGCACACTCCCTCAAAACTTGCAACATCTGTGGCATTGTGCTGTGTGATAAAACTGCACATTTTAGAGTGGCCTTTTATTGTGGCCAGCCTAAGGCACACCTTTGCAATAATCATGTTCTCTAATCAGCATCTTGATATGCCACACCTGTGAGGTGGATGGACATATATATAAATATATATATATATATATATATATATATATATATATATATATTGTTAGAGTAGTAGCTTGACATGCAAATAGACATCACATTTCAGACTTCCAATGGTATTTACAGAGATACCCTTAGGAACAGACACTGTTTCAAAAATAATTATGGTGATATAAATAATTTGAGAGGTTGAACATGATATTTTTTTCCATAGGGCAAATACAAAAAATACTGTTATGATATATAGAATTTATCACTATGGTAATTAATATATTCCTTTCACAAGGAGATGCTTAAAGTCAAACGTGTTTCATGTAAGAGAGGTCAGAATACTTTGGAAATAGCTTAGTTTAAATAAATGTTTTGTTAGCAATGTGACCAAGATGGAGTAGTCTCTGAACACCAAGAAAGAAAAGTCCTAGTTTATACCAATCTCTTTTTAAAGAGGGACATTGCTATGGCACTCAGGGCAAGACTACCACTAGAATAAGCTGCAGGGGTTATTTTGCTTAGAGTGACCCTTCAGTCATCTGTCTAGCCCATTTGTTGCATCCGTACTACTTTTTACTAGTTGTTGAAATATTCTAGGGCTTAGCTCCATAACTTATTCCTTGCTGTGCAATCAAGCTCCATGTGTCCATTATTGTTGAGATGAATTATACTGCTATATAAAAAGAATGTAGTAAAAGGTTAAGCCACTGAAAACGAGTCTATCTATCTATCTATCTATCTATCTATCTTTCTATCTATCTATCATTAGTTTGTAAAATATGTCCATGCTTTTTATAGAAGGACAACTACATTGGGAGCGTCAGTCTTCCACCTCTACCTCCGATAGTTCAATTTGGAATCGTGCATCCTCTGCAGAGGTGGAACTAACCTCAAACATGCTCCTGACCATGCTCTCTGGGCCCGAAAAAGACTTGGGCAGAGCATCAGAGATAGTGAATTGGTTGAGCAAGCAGCAGAATCCATATGGGGGTTTTGCATCTACTCAGGTAAATTAGGAGTTATGATAATTCACAGATACATACTATTAAAAGAAGATAGACCCACAGCAGATAAAATATTGAAACCCTCAATGTAAAAATAAATAGAGTGATGTGTAACAGTGAAAAACAAAAAAAAGGTACATGCAGATGTAATACTAATATTTGATACAAAATACATAGGAAGACAACATCCAGAGCAGGTACTGGCTTTTGCATACTTGATGGTTATTTACTAACGTAAAGTTTCTGATATTTAACTTACTTTTCTTAAAACACGTATCTTGTGTGCAACGTCTGTACCTGTGACAAATCTGTGGTGTTCAGTGAATTTTGCATGAGAAATTTGAGCTTTTTGCTCACTGTGATAATGTAGCCCTTTTGAAAATGAAGCTCTCAGGAATGAGGCTGTGGTTTGTAGAGACAATAAGAATTAATGTAAATTAAATATGACACACTCGTTGGGTGCATTGGTAAAAAAAAAATGGAGTTCTCTTGCAAATGTGGCATTCTAGAGCAAAGCTACATAGTGTGGGGGCAATGAGAATGAACATGTTACTATCAAGACATGATTTAGTTTCCAGGCACAATGCTATAAGTAATCAATTCTATTAAGTTCATTTAGGAAAAATACAGATTTTGTCAGAATGGACAAAATTCATTAAAAATGACCAAATTCCACATGCAATACCAATATTTACTAAAGCCAGATGCAGTCAGCATTCTGTTGGATCGATCTTATTCTTTTGGAAAATTACCAATATCCACATGTGAGCCAATTGAAAGCACAAGAATAATACATTTATAAACGTTTGCTTGGGGAACGATGATAAACCAATTGCTTGCTTTTTGGCTAATTAATTGATAATTTGAAGTACTATTTGCCATCTGGCAACACTAGCAGCCAGCAGGCAAACAGTTAAAAACCTTCTGTGGCGTGAGGATTAACTACCCAGCTGTGTAGAGTATATAGAGGTACAATACCTTCATTACAGAAGTAAGGGGGTTTTATTGACCCCCCAATAGGATTTTTATTTATTAATATTTTTTAATGTGCGGGTGTCAAGCAAGCATTTGCCAGTTATCATAAAATTAACCTTAAAGGACCACTATAGTGCCAGGAAAACATACTCGTTTTCCTGGCACTATAGTGCCCTGAGGGTGCCCCCAACCTCAGGGTCCCCCTCCCACCCGGCTCTGGAAAGGGGTTAAAACTTACCTTTTTCCAGCGTTGGGCGGAGAGCTCTCCTCCTCCGATCCTCCTCTTCTCCTCCCATGCGGCTGAATGCGCGCGCATTCAGCCGGTCACATAGGAAAGCATTCATAATGAAAATCACAGTGAGAAGCACGCAAGCGCCTCTAGTGGCTGTCAATGAGACAGCCACTAGAGGAAATAGGGGAAGGCTTAACCCATTCACAAACATAGCAGTTTCTCAGAAACTGCTATGTTTATGAAAACATGGGTTAACCCTAGCTGGACCTGGCACTCAGACCACTTCATTAAGCTGAAGTGGTCTGGGTGCCTAGAGTGGTCCTTTAAGGATGCCAAAGGTTTTCTCTATTTGCCCAGAAGGTGGCAGTGCAGTCAGCAGGCAAATAGTTTGGATTTTTGAAATTCAGACTCAAAGCATTTGGGTGTGGATTTGAAGCATTCAGTATGGATTTCAACCATCTTAGAGGCTCTGTCACCTCAAACTTACTCCTATTCTTTTAAGATTAACCAAGTTTAGTTAAATACATAAGACAACATATTCTCTTCTTTGTCTTGTGTTCTAAAGAGAACTAGATCAGAAACAAAGTAAAGAATAATATATTCTGAAAGAGGAAACAATAGGAGAAATGTAAATTTGAGGTGACAGAAGCACTTTAAATAGTAACCAAACGCAGGTCTTTTTAGGACCTGAATTGCAAAATCCAGAAATTGTTACATGGTGAACACAGTCTGAATCTTGCAGTCCCAATGGCCCCGTATGCAGCCAGATTGTTTTGCCTCATATAGGATGGGGAATTTTGATCTTTATTGAATAGACCCTTGAGTGTTGGATATCCACCATGTTTACTTGTTTTACTAGAGTAGTTTGGAGAGCATATGTGCTTTATCTGAAGAATTATTCTCTTTTCTTAAACAATGCAGGGAGATATAGTGGGTGCAGTTTTCATTGATATTACTATGCACAAAAAAAACAAAGAAAAATGACACCAAACCTTAATACTACCTTCCTACTTCACAGGACACGGTTGTAGCTCTCCAGGCTATGGCTAAGTATGCTGAAGCCACATTTAGTGACATTAGCAATGTGACAGTGACAGTCCAATCCCAAACCGGAATGATGGAGTTCTATGTTGATAATACAAACCGGCTCCTGCTACAGACAATGCCACTGTCTGATGTCCCTGGGAATTACACGCTGACAGCTACAGGAACTGGTTGTGTCTTTGTGCAGGTTAGTGGTATTCTTAAAGGGTCATTCTAGGTACCATAACCACTTAGAATTCCTGCAAAATACATGGTGCTTAGATTTCTTTTACAAAGAGTTGTTAGGCGCTCGCTATAGTGATTGGAATAGAATGTGTAGTATACAGGCAGCAGCAAACAAACCAGGTATTCCCAGCCCTTCTGAATAGATAAATTGCAAGAGAAGACAAAAGTAAACCGTGCCCAGTGTACATGTACAAAAAAAATTATTACGTACATAGGTCTTTAGATGGTAGTATACAATTGACCTCAAAAAATAAAAAGACAAAATAATGGTGCGGCACAGTATGTAAAGTGCATATGTAGTAAATAAACTCAGATTACTCTCACTCACATTCTTTTGAGCTATCTTAGAGCTCTGCTGTTTTTTAATGGATGGAATAATCCCCGTCTAAGGATATGAAGTAATGTAGTCTTCTCAAATGCTCCAAATAAAGTGCAATTTGCAGGATATTTGAGGAAATAAATACAGGAAAAAGGAGAAAAACTCCAATGGTGAAGTAAGTACTGGTGTGCAATAGATGTATACAATATGTTAAAGTACTCACATTTGCTTGAGCAGAACTTGCTCTAGTGTAAACAACAAATGGTGGTATAATCCCCATCTCAGGATATGATGTTACCAGGAAGTAGCAGGTAAAATAATAAGGTATCGCTCTCTCTATATATAATGTATAATTTTATTTACCAAACAAAAACAATAAAATAGTAAAATAGGGAGTCGCACTTGATGTGTTTAGCCTATCCAAGGCTTCTTCAGCAGTATAGTTATATCCTTACAAAGTTCTGTTTGTATATGTTGATCTTGATTGAAATTACTTCCTGGTGAGGGTAAATGCTGACTTCCTGTCCAATGCTAGAACACACATGTCACACCGGAAGTGACACAGCGATTAACTGGCATTGGTGGTCTCAGGGGCCTTGGTGTATCGATATGGAATGCATATGTTATAAAAAATGGCATTGATGCGTTCCAAATGTCACTGCTGTGGGTCCTTCCCACAGCGAGCCCTTGGCGTATGTATAAAGTTTTATTATGTCCCACCTCATTGTGGAGTCTCTTTAATCCCTGTTCGATATCGGAGGAGGCGTGGTGTCACAAAGAAAGTGACGCAACGGTAGTCTTCAAATGTAGTATATAACTGGGTAGTGGCTTGACGGCCATATTGGAAGAGGGCAAAAAGGAAGGAAAAGTGTATAAACGATATATCAGTATAACCTTCTGGTATTTGGTGGAAATATAAGTCTATATGTAAGGAATATCTCCATCTACTAATAGTATAACTATAAGGGGCCATATGTATAGGCATAACATATATAATTAAAGAAAGATGGTAGAACAAATATGATATTAAGATAAAAATAATGCAATTATGGTTGTAATCCTGATTATACGAACATATGGATATATAAATATTTATGTGTATATAAAAAAAAATACAATAAACATAAGCTATATAGATATACATTGTAAAATTCACAAATAGAGTGGATAAGTGGCAGTGCATATAAATGCTGGTGCTTAAGTAATGATGAGCCAACCATTAGCAATAATAATGGTAGGGGAAAACATAATAAGGGAGACATAATGGAAATGAGTGTAGAAAAATATATACAAAATTTGTAAAACATGGCTACATATGTTAAAAAATAATAATACAAAGTATAATTTATAAAAGGATTAAAAAAAAATAAAAAATTAAATTCTGCATTTAAACCTTTAGAATGCAATCTATCCATATAGTAAACCCATTCCATTTCTGTCTTCCCTATTTTTTTTTATAAAATCTCCCGCCCTCCAGTGGTTTCTTACAATTGCAATGCCCGTGAATGTGAGATCTTTAGGATTATTGTCATGCATACAAAAATGTGAGGGTACAGAATGGTTTTTAAATCCTTAACAATGTTTCTGCAATGCTCTGCAATTCTTATTTTGAGTGGCTTTATAGGACGCCCTATATATTGGAGGCCACATGTGCACTGCAACAAGTAGATTACGTTTTTACTATTACAAGTGATTATATCTTTGATGTTATATGTTTTTCCAGTTTTGTTTGATTTAAACTGAGTTCTCAGTTTTTCTGTTGCATTAGTCCTTTTGCAGGCTAAGCAGCATTTGCATTTGTAAAAACCTTTTTTATCCATACAATTGTTAGCTTTGTTTGGGCTTGCCTTTGTATACTTTTTCATAAGGTGCATTTTTAGGTTTGGTGCACCTGTAATAATTTTGGTCTTTCTGGAATTATGTCTTTTAGTGATTAATCTTCTTTTAGTAAATGCCAGTGTTAGTTTAGAATATTCTGAGTTGTCTATTTTTAATATTATAATCTAACATGATAAGTAGGGAGATATTTTGATTTATTTGGGGTTTTCTCTGTGTACGAGCTTTTTTCTGTTCAGCAGTAGTGTTTGGTTTAAAGTAGACTCTATTTTTTTAGTTCTGTATCCTTTTTGTATAAATCTCTTTTTCAGATCTTTGGCTTGTTTTGTGAAAATAGGCTTTTCTGAACAGTTTCTTCTCTGTCTCATCATTTGACTCTTAGGTATAGTCTCCAGCCATACTTTGTTATGGCTGCTCTTAGTATCTATATAGTTATTTACATGTACATCCTTGAAATGTGTTTTGGTATTTATTTTATTATCCTTTATATAGATGTTCAAGTCAACATAAGTAACCTCAGTATTGCTAAAATTCTGCAGTTAAAGCTATACCTTCATCATTAGAGTTTAAAAAGGCAATAAAATCCTGTGCTGGTGAAACAGATCCTAAAGAGGAGGTCATCTATATACCTTGAGTAGGCTACCAGGTTTTCCACTCAGCCATGCCCATTCCAAATAAAACGCTCCTCCCATTCTGTCATGTAGAGGTTGGCGTAGCTGGGTGCAAACCTGGTACCCATAGCTGTTCCCATTTTTTGTAAATAAAAACCATCTTTAAACCAAAAATAATTGTTTTTTAAAATTATATCTATACCTTCTATTAAAAAATAAATTTGGTCCTGGATCATGGAGCCTTCTTTTTCTAATATTGTCCTAATTGCCTGACAGCCCTTATCGTGTTGAATTATCGTGTACAATGATTGTACATCACACATAAGAAGTACAAAATTCTCTTCCCAAATTATATCATCTAATTATTTTAAAAGACCCATAGTGTCTTTAAGATAAGATCTAGTTTTTATGACATATGACTGCAATAACACCTTGGGTGTTGAACATTTATGTAATGGTATTCCTTTTGATTCAGGATCCCTGCATCTACTCCCTTGTGCAAAAAAAATGTTTTAATATTTTAATATCCTAAGTTGGGTTATGAGCCATTCTTACATATGTGTTTAAGTCGTTCAATTGCTTATTAGCTTCTTGTTCGTATTGTTCTTTAGATAGTATGACAAGGCCTCCACCTTTATCAGCAGGTTTAATTATTATAGATTATCGTTATACAGATCTTTTAAAACGTGTCTTTCTTTTCTAATCATGTTTGGTTTATCACAAGTTTTTCTTTCTAGAGTTTTAAGGTCTTTACAGACCTTTTTTTCAAATATTTCAAGGGCACTAGATTTATAGTGCACTGGGTAGAATGCATCAACACCATTTCTTTTATGATGTATGCGTTGCAGACCGATACAAACCAAGTCCACTGTGACCACCAATGCCGGTTAATCGCCGCGTCACTTCCGGTGTGACGTGTGCGTTCCAGCATGGTAGAGGAAGTCAGCAATCACCCACACTAGGAAGTAATCTTCAATTAATATCAGCATATATAAACATAACTTTGTAAGGACATAACTACACTTCTGAAGAAGCCTTGCATATGTGAAACGCTTCAAGTGAGACTCCCTATACTATTTTATCTGTTTTATTGATTTTGTTTGGTATATAAAAGTATACTATATATATATATATATATATATATATATAGAGAGAGAGAGAGAGAGAGAGAAAGAGAGAGAGATATATTCTTCTTTTACCTGCTACATTCGGGTACCATCATATCCACCCTTGAGGTTTACACTAGAGCAAGTTCTGCTCTAGCAAATGTGAGTACTTTACCTATTTTATACATCTGTTGTACACCAGTACTTACTTCACCATTGGTGTTTTTTTTTCCTTTTCCTGTATTTATTTCCTCATATCATGCATATTGCACTTTATTTGGAGGATTTGAGAAGACTACACCACTTCATATCCTTAGACGGGGATTATTCCATCCATGTGCAAAACAGCAGAGCTCTAAAATAGCTCAAAAGAATTTGAGTGAGAGTAATCTGAGTTTATTTACTGCATATGCACTTTACATACTGTGCTGCACCATTATTTTGTCTTTTTATGTTTTGAGGTCAATTGTATTCTACCATCTAAAGACCTATGTACATATACTTTTTTGTACATGTACACCTGGCAAGGTTTGCTTTTGTCTTCTCTTGCAATTTAAATTTCTTTTAGCCCACACTAATTCATGAGAGGGGCTTATAATAGCACTGATTTATAAAAATCACTGCCGCTATAGGATAGCTAGTTAGGGATGCAAATCAGGCACCTGGCAGTACTTTGTTCTGTGTGACCTCATATCAGTTTTGAGTATGTTGTGTGTGCAGTAGGAAGGCTCATTATCCTTCCTAGAGAGAGCCAAGCTGTATACTATTGCTGCACAAGGAAAAACATATCTCAGTTCACTAAACAGTGATGCCAGCCACAGTTTATAATGTTTGTAATGCAATTCCTTTTCATTAGAATTACTTAATTGTGAGTGGTCTGTGTGCAACTGTAGATAGACCCACTAGAAAGTGCATTATGTGGATCTTTCAAGGTAACTTTTTTTTTTTTTACTTACTATAGTTTCAATTTGTCCCCTTTTAAATGTATTATTTGTATATTTCAATAAAATTTAGGGTAATTTTTTACTTTTTGTATTGTCTCACTCATTTTTGTTTTATCTATAATTTAATTATCTTGCACAGAGTGTCATGAGATACAATGTTCCTCCACCTAGAAGTGATGCCACATTTGCAGTCAATGTAGACGTACAACCAAATGAGTGTCTTGGAGATCCAGTTGCAAAGCTTGAGATCCACATCACTGCTAAGTATGTTCTCTCTGATATTTCATTAATGTTATCAACCTCTCTGATTACTTGCAAACCCAGCACAGACACAATATTTACTCCTCCATGTCTGGTGACACCCCACGCATTTATACTTTGTATCCACCAACCCATGTTCTTAGATTCCAGGACGGTTATTCCATTTTTTCACCAATCAATGGCCTCTCACCCCCACACATTTATAGCCTGCATTCACCACTCCAGGCCTTGTGACCCTTACACATTTATACAATATATTCACTCCTTAATATGATCCAAACTATGTCATTTTTTGTACTCAGAACTCCAAATAAGCAGATGATCTTCAGGGATCCCTGTATTCCATTCACATTACTTACATAAATTAAAGTTAGAAGCTTTGGACAATATCTCTAAGTGGATCGAAGTTTAATAGAAGGAAAAAAAAAGAGTTCCATATTTTATGAATGTTTTTGTATGCACAGTAATGATAATCACGAGCTTAGCAAAATATAGATCTCTACAAGTTTTAAAAAATAGCTGTTTAGCCTAAATATGGAAAGTAGATTGCCAGTGCACCACATTTTACTATGTACAAAATAAATCTACATGTTCTCTCACTGTTATCTTATTCCCTGCATTGTGAAGCAGCATTATATATTGATGTGTAATCTGTAGTTTTTCTCCTACAGGTATATTGGATCCCGAGAGAAATCCAACATGGCCCTTATTGAAGTCAAGATGCTGTCTGGGTTTATTCCAGTGAAGAGCTCAGTGAGGGAGGTAAGGAATGCTTTCCGTGGTTGTCGAGCAAATAATTCTCATTTTAACTGTATAATAGTGAGGTTAATAATGACACCTTTAAAGGATACCTTTAACATGGATTTATCTAAGTACAGAATTTCAGATCACATATGTTGACATGAATTTTCACAAAATATAAATAACAAATAACATGAATAAACTTGAGAAATAAAACACTTAGTTGATATTCCCCTATTATTCAAAATATAGGGAGCAACATAAAATGCAATAATATTGTGTATTCGAGATCTGTGTCTTTCAGTGCTATTCAGTATCCAACCTTGAATAGAAAAGATACTGACATAGCATAATTCCAAATAAAATTTAGTTTTATTTCCCATAAAAAAAACCCATATGAAGAGCTCTTACAAAATGATGCGGTGAAACTTATTTCTAAGTAGCACTATAAAAGCATGTATAGTACAGAGTATAAGCCAAGATGGTTATGGTTACCGCTCCGTAGATGTGGATTAGTTGACCGATCTTGTGCACTCAGACCGATCCTCTTGCTGGAACGCTGGCTGACAGGTACTGCTGTACTCTCCTTTGCAGATTTAAAAATCCCGCCAAGACACGATCTACGCGTTTCGCCCGTTTGGGGGATTAGGGTTACATATATACATCATTTAATTATAATTTTCCAGTGTGTTACATTTTCATATTTGTTGTTACATTTATACATAGAATTATATATTACATATATTTGTATTGAAGTTTGCATACATACAATACATTTGTCGTTTTGCAATTCTGACTGTTGGAAAAATGGCTATCCAGATAGAATATGCTTCACAAATCTATATTTTTTACAAAGCCTTAGTTTTAAGTTCTAATTGGCACAAAGATCAATGGCTTCATAAAGATAGTGAGATCTATAGATTAAAAGGTCCTCATTCTTACGGAACTCTTTTTTTCGGTCTTTAAGGTTCAGGAAAGTGGCTTTTACATTATTTTACATAATATACTATTTCATCCACAATTTCCTAATTTTTCGTTTTAGCAAATTTCATAACCGGTTTCAAACCATGATACATATTCATCATATTCATACATTCATACAAGTACTGCAAATAATAAAATAAATATTTAACCGGTAAAATAAAATGTTTTTTTTAACAAAACCTTAACATATACATAATGCTGTGTCCTACACATAAGAATAAAAAATAATGAATACAAATTGACATATAAGTGTTGTGTATGGGTCATTCCTAGATTACCATCTTTCCAAGAAAAGGGATGGCAAATTATATTAGACCAAACTCAATTCTCATTCTTTGGTTTCTCCTTGGAGTGATAGTATATTTTAAACCCACTTAGCAATCAAATTATCATCTTCATTTTAAGATGCAACTACAACTTGTTCTTCGATTAGTGAAGAAATACTATACAGTTGCAAGAAAAAGTATGTGAACCCTTTGGAATGATATGGATTTCTGCACAAATTGGTCATAAAATGTGATCTGATCATCATCTAAGTCACAACAATAGACAATCACAGTCTGCTTAAACTAATAACACACAAAGAATGAAATGTTGCCATGTTTTTATTGAATACACCATGTAAACATTCACAGGGCAGGTGGAAAAAGTATGTGAACCCCTAGACTATTGACATCTCCAAGAGCTAATTGGAGTGAGATGTCAGCCAACTGGAGTCCAATCAATGAGATGAGATTGGAGGTGTTGGTTACAGCTGCCCTGCCCTATAAAAAACACACACCAGTTCTGGGTTTGCTTTTCACAAGAAGCATTGCCTGATGTGAATGATGCCTCGCACAAAAGAGCTCTCAGAAGACCTACGATTAAGCATTGTTGACTTGCATAAAGTATCTCCAAAAGCCTTACTGTTCATTAGTCCACGGTAAGACCAATTGTCTATAAATGGAGAAAGTTCAGCACTGCTGCTACTCTCCCTAGGATGACTGCAAGAGCACAGCGCAGACTGCTCAATGAGGTGAAGAAGAATCCTAGAGTGTCAGCTAAAGACTTACAAAAGTCACTGGCAAATGCTAACATCCCTGTTAGCGAATCTACAATACATAAAACACTAAACAAGAATGGATTTCATGGGAGGATACCACAGAGGAAGCCACTGCTGTCCAAACAAAACATTGCTGCATGTTTACAGTTTGCACAAGAGCACCTGGATGTTCCACAGCAGTACTGGCAAAATATTCTGTGGACAGATGAAACCAAAGTTGAGTTGTTTGGAAGAAACACACAACACTATGTGTGGCGAAAAAAAGGCACAGCACACCAACATCAAAATCTCATCCCAACTGTGAAGTATGGTGGTGGGGGCTTCATGGTGTGGGGCTGCTTTGCTGTGTCAGGGCCTGGACGTATTGCTATCATCGAAGGGAAAATGAATTACCAAGTTTATCAAGACATTTTGCAGGAGAACTTAAGGCCATCTGTCTACCAGCTGAAGCTCAACAGAAGATGGGTGTTGCAACAGGACAATGACCCAAAGCATAGAAGTAAATCAACAACAGAATGGCTTAAACAGAAGAAAATATGCCTTCTGAAGTGGCCCAGTCAGAGTCCTGACCTCAACCCGATTGAGATGCTGTGGCATGACCTCAAGAAAGTGATTCACACCAGACATCCCAAGAATATTGCTGAACTGAAACAGTTCTGTAAAGAGGAATGGTCAAGAATTACTCCTGACCGTTGTGCACGTCTGATCTGCAACTACAGGAAACGTTTGGTTGAAGTTATTGCTGCCAAAGGAGGTTCAACCAGTTATTAAATCCAAGGGTTCACATACTTTTTCCACCTCCACTGTGAATGTTTATATGGTGTGTTCAATAAAAACATGGCAACATTTCATTCTTTGCGTGTTATTAGTTTAAGCAGACTGTGATTGTCTTTTGTTGTGACTTAGATGATGATCAGATCACATTTTATGACCAATTTGTGCAGAAATCCATATCATTCCAAAGGGTTCACATACTTTTTCTTGCAACTGTATATATATACATGAAACAAGAAGGGGTTGGCTGCACTCACCTGAACATGCATAAATGGGGGTGCTGCTGGGGGCCAAATAATACAATACACAAGATCCAGCGCACTCACCTATCCACTAAACAGCAACGTCAATGTTGAAAAATTGTATTTGTTTTTTTAAAAACACCTAATCTAGGCAAAAAATAATGGGGGTTTAGTTACATTATATGATCATACATTGCATAAGCCTGCCACAACGTCAATGTACCCCATCTTTGGCAGGTCCTACACTAACAGCCTAATGTCTGCTCTTATGAGATAAACCCACTTACTTGGGGAAAAAAATTCCATCTGGGGCTCTCTGCAGTACAAGGCTAAATAGGGCCCTGGGATGAGGCACCTGTGACAGGGAGGGGTGCAAAACCAAGGAGTTGGCTTGACTCCCAAATATATATATATGAAACAAGAGCGGGTTGGCTGCACTCACCTGAACATGCATAAATGGGGGTGCTGCTGGGGGCCAAATAATACAGTATACAAGATGCAGCGCACTCACCTTATCCACTAAACAGCAACTTCAATGTTGAAAATTTGTATTAGTTTTTTTAAAAACACCTAATCTAGGCAAACATAATGGGGGTTTAGTTACATTATATGATCATACATTGCATAAGCCTGCCACAACGTCAATGTACCCCTTCTTTGGCAGGTCCTACACTAACAGCCTAATGTCTGCTCTTATGAGATTAACCCACTTACTTGGGGAAAAAAATTCCATCTGGGGCTCTCTGCAGTACAAGGCTAAATAGGGCCATGGGATGAGGCACCTGTGACATATATATATATATATATATATATATATGTCAGTATCTTTTCTATTCAAGGTTGGATACTAAATTGCATTGAAGGACACAAATCTCGATTACAGATTATTGTGCTACAGTTATAAACTCCTGATATTATCTGGACATACCCTCATAAAGACTGATATTGGAACTCTTCGACCACAATATTATTGCATTTTATGTTTCTCTCTATATTTTGAATATTAATCACTTCTCATTTGTGAATAAAACACACATTTAGCGACTGTCCCCTAGCCATATAGCATTTTTTTCCCCCCATCAATCATCTCTTTTTTTGGCATCATGGGCAGAATCTGGAGTTTGCAGTAAAAACAAATGTGCTGTGCCATTCCGTGTTTCATTTGGTTGGTAATTTGGGTACATTTCGTCTCATAGATTTAGAACTCAACCGATTGGTCAAAATGTTACAGACAGAATCCAGAGTTACAAATAAAAACAAACTTACTTGGCCATTCATTTGGTTTGTGATTTGGGTACATTTCATCTCTTAGTTCAGGAACTCAACAAATCAACAAATCAACCAAAATTCAGATCAATTACAGTTTGGATCGAAACGAATCTCCAAGTCTAAAAGTAACATGGAATACATGCATTTGTTTTTTCTTCTGTAAAATTATCAGATTTATTGTACATAAAAAACATAGTTTTTTACCCTATGTAAAATTAATCTTTTACTAATTAGTGAATTATAAATATATTATTCGTCTGCCATACTAAATCTTCTGTATACATATTATACTTAATTAATACTTTTGTTTAAATAATTGATTTCACTAACATGAAACAGGCAGTGTAGACTGGAAACAAAATACAAAATACAAACACAAACAAACAGTTGTGCTTTCCAAAACTGTTCATTATTCTGGAATTAGCCCGTTTACACCTATTTGACAAAAAAACCTGAGATCACACCTTTAATAATTAGTTTTTATAATAATGCATGTCACACTTAACACCATACATTTCTCATATTTTTACAATTAGAGTTTTAGGTGCCTTCTGAGAATATTTTTTAATTTAGTTTTTATCCATCTACCCTTGACTTCCCATTTACCCTTGACAAATCCAACAATATAAGTGTCCTTATTTTTTAGAACAGTTAATTTTAGATGATATATTGTCTTTTGGTTACTTTTGCCTCCTCTCTATACAATGTCAGCAATTACACCTGAAATAAAGAGTGGTGTTAGTGCCTGCAAATCTTGCACCCAGGCATATTAACATGTTGGTCCCTGGTATATCTCATAATCTGACCTAAAAATACTTCAACTGCTATCATCCCCGCCAATCTACTGAGACTAGATTCTCCAAGTTATTCGAACCATTGAAACAAGTTATATGTAAAAAATACTGCTCATTAATATTTGTTATGAAACTCCCTGCCACCACTAACTGCATATTTCGCCAATCACTTCTTTGGTTGATCAGGTCTATTTGGCCTATAAGGTATATTATTTGCTAGGGTCATATACCTATTCTTTCATTCCTTCTACACTTATTTACATATGTATTATATTAAAATATGAAATATGAAAAAAGTAAGATTTTCATAAGACATCTTGTGTTATATCTTACAAAATGTAAGGCATCTTGTAATATATTACTTTTCAACCATTCGCTGTTCATGTAATCAATTTTTTGCCAATAGATGTAATAAATGTAATTTTTTTCAAACGTGTGTGTAGTTATATATATATTGTATTTTGCCTTCACAGCTGGAGAAGAACAAAGTGATTCGGCGGAGTGAAATAAATATCGACATGGTAACCCTGTATCTGGATGAGGTCAGAGAAATCTATAGAAGTTCTATATATAGAGAGCAAAATTTTTTTTAGAGTTGTTGATTTCCTCAAAAAACATACAAATAGTGAATTAAGCTGTTTTTTTTTACTTATTTATTTTTAACTATCTAATATGACTCTGAAACATTACAAAGAGATTATTACAAAGGGACCTGTACTCATGTTCATACTTATGGTGCTGATGCCCCAGTTATGCTCCAAAATATGTCCTTAAATATAAATAACACATAGAACGAAAAAGCAAAGCACTTCAAAAAGTGTTTTCTAAATTGTATTAGGAACGACCTATTAGTGCATACTCAGTGGTGAAATACCCAGAAAAGCTGATGCAACATTGTGATAAATAATATACTAACTAGTGAAAAATAAAAATAACAATCCGTTACAACCCATGAAGTTGTGAGTTATGCCCTCCAACAAAGAAACATGTATTGCAAAAACAGTTGTACAAGATCAATGTCCTGCATTACCAAATGTAGCGGATAGCCCCAGGCGACCCTACAAATATACTGTTTTACCTGCATTCGTGTATCTGCTGTGTTTTCTATGTATTAAAGTGAATTGTATTCCTCTGATTGTTCGGTAGTTTCATTCCCTTAGTTTATTCGAATGAAACTACCGAACAACCAGACCTCCCCTGTGTGAAGTGTGTCCTCAATTACCTGTTGCAACATTGTTGCGAACGGGTAATTGAACAGTAAGTAGCCATTTTAAAACTCCCGAACAGCGGTGTTTTGCCGTCGAGTGTCTGAACTAAAATCGGACACTCGAGTAGGCGAACACCTCTGAAACCTCCACAGCCCTGGTCCGTTCGGTTCCAAACTACCGAACGGCCCCTCGTTCGGTAGATAGAAAATACCGAACGAGGGGATTCAGGTGAACCCTCCCTAGCCTCTATAGCTAGAGGTTTTCGTGTATTTTATTCCCTTATGCCAGGACCGACTGCAGGGCCCATTCACATGGAACCGGATTCGGCTATCTCAGTTAGTGCGGTCGGTCATTTTATTCCCTCCATACATTTCCCGAACCCCTGGTCTGATCTGGGTGATTTTTGGATATGTTGTTCACCCAGATCAGGGGTATCCGGGGATGTAGGATTTAAAGTGGTACCCCTACGTTTAGGGGTACATCCAGAAACGGGGGGAATTGGTGTGCTGGATAAGGGGATTATGATGCTGGCTGAGGGGAGGAGATGTGTGGGAGGTTACCAGGACAGGATTGGCTACTGTAATAATTACTGTAAATCCCTCCCTTGCATGGGAGCATGCTTTATAAGGAAACTGCGATTAAAGGCTTTCAGTTATGCTCCTGAAACTGTGTGTCGTCCAGTTATTGGGATTGCTGTTGGGATATTGCTGTATTTTACCTGCTGGAAGCCTTGCCTGTGGATTTACTATTTACTTGTTCCTGAGTCCCACTTGGATTATAAGCGGAGATAACCTGGGTAATATTGCATCTCCGCTACATTGGTTGGCAGCGCTGGGATCCAGACTCACAGAGGAACAAGCCTAAATGGAGTACGGATGGAGATTAATTTTGCCACACTAAAACGCTCCACGCTAAAAGACCTTCTGGAGGCAAGCCAGCAATAAGACAAAAGCGGTACTCATTACTGAACTGATGGCGGAGTACCGAATGGACGGCGATTCGGTTCCCGAACAGGGGAATTCGGGAGAAACACCGGAACAAAGGGAGTTCCAGAGGCAGGTACAATTTCGGCTGTCTTTCTATGGGGAACACCCTCCAACAGAGATTGTTTCAAAAACAATGACGGAGGTCCAGGAATTTATACTAAGGAGTCAAACAGCGGCCCCAGAACGCAGCTCTGCAGTAAATATGCCACAAGAAGGTAAGCCTAAAATACCATACCAGGCTTTTAAAACATATGTGGAGGCAGAGGAAGATATAGACGCTTTCCTGCAAGATTTTGAGAGACTGTGTGCACTGCATAGAATCAGCGCAGAGGACTGGGTACATATTTTGGCAGGGAGGTTAACTGGGAGGGCAGCTGAGGCATACCGTACTGTGCCTAATGAAGAAATACGGAATTACCACAAAGTGAAAGAAATTATATTGGCCAGGTATGCTATAACACCAGAAGCATACCGGCGGAGATTCAGGGATTTAAAGAAGGTGGAGAAAGACTCACACGCAGAGTGGGCATGCAGACTACAACGAGCAGTCTTGGGGTGGGTGCAAGCGAGCAAGGCACGGTCTATGGAGGATGTATTGCAAATGGTACTGCTGGAGCAATTTTATGAAGGAGTAACCAGCTAGGTACAGGAGTGGGTAAGAGACAGAAACCCTACCTCCCTTACCGAAGCAGCCAGGAAGGCAGACGAGTACCTGGATGCACGCAGGCAGCAGAAACCTGCAGCTCCAAAAGTACCTTTTAAAACCTTCGGGGGGGAACAACTACACGCCAGCTCTACCAAGACCACTGCCACCACCCCCACCGCCCGCTGCACAGCCACGTTTCCGCTAGCCCACGTCGGGCCCTTGCCACCACTGCCAAAAATGGGAACATTATAAAAGGGAATGCCCCCAGCTGCGGGACCGCTCCACCTGGATTCGCCCCGGCCCACCACCACCACCGAGAGCAGCCGCAGCCCACCACTACCAGGACATCGTGGCCACACCGTATGGTTCAGCAGTTCCCATCACAATGGTAGAACAGTGGGAGGTACTGCACGAGGCAGATCCCATCCAGGCTAATGCTGACAACCGCCAGCATCACAGGCAGACCGTGTATCTGGAGGGTAAAGCGGTTCAGGGGCTACGTGACTCAGGAGCCACCATCACCCTGGTAAAAAGTCACCTGGTCTCAGACCAAGCTAAACTAAATAAGACTGTGGCCATCAGGGTAGCCGGGGGAGCAGTATACCGGCTACCTACAGCAAGGGTACATTTGCATTGGGGAGCGGGGGCAGGGCATGTGGAGGTGGGGTTGATGCCGCAGTTACCGGCGGAGGTTTTATTGGGGAACGATCTGGGGAGGCTCACATCTGCTTTTGAGCCCCAGACACCCACCACAGGAGAAGCTCACCCTGTGGTTACTCGACAACAGGCCCGCACCCAGGACTACAACACACTCCCGGAGGTTCAGGTAAGAGATCCTTCCCCTTCCCTTGACTGTGTTCCCTGGGCCCCTCCTAACGAATTTGCAGCTGAGGTAGTGACTGACCCCACCTTGCAGGTGTATAGGGACAAGGTGACAGCAGACATGCCTGGGGGGGGAGGGCGAAAGGTTTATTTGGGACAAACAGCTGTTATATCGGGAGAAGGATAAGAAGGTATCCGGGTCAGACCCGATTGTGATGAGGCAGTTAGTGGTACCTCAGCGGTACCGGGCGGAGTTACTACGGATAGCACATGACATTCCGCTATCTGGACATTTAGGGGTCAGCAGGACCCGATACAGGTTAACCCAAAGTTTCTTTTGGCCGGGAATTAGCCACGAGGTGTGCAGGTATTGCAACACGTGCGATACCTGTCAAAGGGTGGGGAAAAGGGGGGACCGGCGCAAGGCCAAGTTACATCCCCTTCCCATAATCGAGGAACCCTTTTGCAGGGTAGCAGTTGACCTAATAGGACCCCTCAACAAAGCGAGCCCGTCAGGTAAAAGATTTATCCTGACGGTAGTAGACTATGCCACTAGATATCCAGAGGCGGTGGCCCTGACGAATATACAGGCTGAGACAGTAGCAGAAGCCCTGATGAAGATATTCTTCCGGGTGGGACTCCCCAGGGAGATTGTCTCCGATCAGGGCACCCAATTCACCGCCGACGTCACGCAGCGCCTCTGGAAGTTTTGTGACATTAAGCCGGTCATTAGTTCCCCTTACCACCCCCAGACGAATGGGCTCTGCGAACGTTTCAACGGTACATTGAAACAAGTCGGCCTTTGTCACCCCATCCCTAAGTCGGCCTTTGTCACCCCATTCGGTTTGTACCAATTTAAGGTCATGCCGTTTGGGATGAAAAACGCCCCGGCTACTTTTCAGCGGATGGTGGACCGCCTCCTGGATGGGTTCCAAGATTATACCTGCGCATATCTCGATGAATTGCCATTTTCAGCAATACCTGGCAGGAACACCTGACCCATATAGGAGCGGTCCTAGACAGGATTAGGGCCGCTGGTTTAACACTGAAACCAGCCAAATGCAGCAGAGACCCACAAGGACTGGGAGAAGTTCCTGCCCCACCTCCTCTTTGCTTATAGGGAGGTGCCGCAGGAATCCACTGGGTTTTCCCCATTTGAACTATTGTTTGGCCGCAGGGTACGAGGGCCTCTATATTTAATCAGAGAGCATTGGGAGGGAGAACGGAGCACTGACGGTACCCCCATCATACCATACGTGTTGGCATTCCGAGACCGCCTTGAGGCCTTAACTCAGACGGTACGCGAGAATTTGCAGGCGGCTCAGACACGCCAGCGCACATGGTATGATCGGGGCGCCAGGGACCGTAGCTTTCAGGTCGGGCAGAAGGTGTTGATCTTAAAACCTGTCCGACACGATAAGCTGCAGGCCGCCTGGCAGGGCCCTTATAAGGTGGTAGAACAACGGTGTGACACCACTTATATAATCAGCTCGTGCGTTGGTACTGGGGGGCGACGCATGCTCCATGTGAACATGATGAAGCCCTACCAGGAGCGCTCTGAGGAAGTGATCGCTATATGTGCGCCTTACTCCGAGTAGTTTGACAGTTTGCCTCTCCCGGATCTGCTGGGAGAGGGTCAGTTATCCGGAGACTTAGGGGAAGTCACCCTGGGGGATCGGTTGAGCCCACAGGAGCGGAGCGAGGTACAACAGCTGTTGAGGGAGAAGCAGGATATCTTCTCTAATGTACCTGGTTACACTCCTCTGGCCACTCACAGAGTAGACACCCCAGGGCAGCTTCCCATGCGTCAGACCCCGTACTGCATCCCAGAAGCGGTACGGGCGAACATGCGCAAGGAGATCGATGAGATGCTCCAGCTGGGGGTGATTGAGCCCTCCGACAGCCCCTGGGCATCTCCGGTAGTACTAGTACCAAAGCGGGACGGCACGACCCGGTTTTGTGTAGACTACCGGAGATTGAATGAGAAGACGGTATCTGACGCCTACCCCATGCCCAGGATAGACGAACTCCTGGATCGGATGGCGAGGGGGCACTATCTCACCACGATTGACTTGTGTAAAGGGTATTGGCAAATACCCTTGGCGCAAGACGCCATCCCTAAGTCGGCCTTTGTCACCCCATTCGGTTTGTACCAATTTAAGGTCATGCCGTTTGGGATGAAAAACGCCCCGGCTACTTTTCAGCGGATGGTGGACCGCCTCCTGGATGGGTTCCAAGATTATACCTGCGCATACCTCGATGATATTGCCATTTTCAGCAATACCTGGCAGGAACACCTGACCCATATAGGAGCGGTCCTAGACAGGATTAGGGCCGCTGGTTTAACACTGAAACCAGCCAAATGCAGCATAGGCATGGCTGAAGTACAATACCTAGGTCATCGAGTAGGATGCGGCAAGCAAAAGCCGGAACCAGCCAAAGTAGAGGCTGTAGCCCAATGGCCTACCCCTAGGACTAAGACTCAGGTGTTAGCGTTCCTAGGAACGGCTGGATACTACCGGAAATTTGTCCCGAATTACAGTGCCCTGGCCAAACCTCTCACCGACTTGACCCGTAAAAACCTACCCCGCCAAGTAACCTGGACCCCGGAGTGTGAACAGGCATTTCAGTTGTTGAAAGATGCATTGACAAATGCCCCTGTCTTGGCAGCTCCCAATCCAACTAAACGTTTTCTTGTCCACACAGACGCTTCTATGTTTGGATTGGGAGCAGTACCAAGTCGGGGCCGATGGCGGAGAACATCCCGTGGCTTACATCAGCCGGAAACTGTTACCTCGAGAAGTAAGCTACGCCGCCATCGAGAAAGAATGCCTGGCTGTGGTGTGGGCCCTGAAGAAATTACAGCCATATTTGTACGGACAAGCTTTTTCCCTGCTCACGGATCACAACCCGTTAGTATGGCTAAACCGGGTGGCTGGGGACAATGCCCGGCTGCTGCGCTGGAGTCTGGCGCTGCAGCCCTTTGACTTTAATATCCAGTACCGCCCGGGTAAACAGAATGGAAATGCTGACGGGTTGTCTCGACAAACTGACCTAGAGAAATGATCCGTGAGCCTCCCCGGACATCCCCAAGCCGATCCGTGTTGGATCAGACTGTGTATGCCGGCTTGTGGGCAAGGGGGAGCAGTGTAGCGGATGGCACCAGGCGACCCTACAAATATACTGTTTACCTGCATTCGTGTATCTGCTGTGTTTTCTATGTATTAAAGTGAATTGTATTCCTCTGATTGTTCGGTAGTTTCATTCCCTTAGTTTATTCGAATGAAACTACCGAACAACCAGACCTCCCCTGTGTGAAGTGTGTCCTCAATTACCTGTTGCAACATTGTTGCGAACGGGTAATTGAACAGTAAGTAGCCATTTTAAAACTCCCGAACAGCGGTGTTTTGCCGTCGAGTGTCTGAACTAAAATCGGACACTCGAGTAGGCGAACACCTCTGAAACCTCCACAGCCCTGGTCCGTTCGGTTCCAAACTACCGAACGGCCCCTCGTTCGGTAGATAGAAAATACCGAACGAGGGGATTCAGGTGAACCCTCCCTAGCCTCTATAGCTAGAGGTTTTCGTGTATTTTATTCCCTTATGCCAGGACCGACTGCAGGGCCCATTCACATGGAACCGGATTCGGCTATCTCAGTTAGTGCGGTCGGTCATTTTATTCCCTCCATACATTTCCCGAACCCCTGGTCTGATCTGGGTGATTTTTGGATATGTTGTTCACCCAGATCAGGGGTATCCGGGGATGTAGGATTTAAAGTGGTACCCCTACGTTTAGGGGTACATCCAGAAACGGGGGGAATTGGTGTGCTGGATAAGGGGATTATGATGCTGGCTGAGGGGAGGAGATGTGTGAGAGGTTACCAGGACAGGATTGGCTACTGTAATAATTACGGTAGATCCCTCCCTTGCATGGGAGCATGCTTTATAAGGAGACTGTGATTAAAGGCTTTCAGTTATGCTCCTGAAACTGTGTGTCGTCCAGTTATTGGGATTGCTGTTGGGATATTGCTGTATTTTACCTGCTGGAAGCCTTGCCTGTGGATTTACTATTTACTTGTTCCTGAGTCCCACTTGGATTATAAGCGGAGATAACCTGGGTAATATTGCATCTCCGCTACACCAAATACACTTAAAAAGACTATACTGTTTGGTATCTATACATTGCTTAATTAATATTATTTACATGTGTGTCCAAATGTAACAGAATCACAATTATAGCCACACTGAACGAGGCCTCAGATATGTAAGAAACCAACAATACTGGGCCAAAAAAATACACAAAACAAAAAGCCACAAATGCATTTGTGTTTTGTGTATTTTTTTTGTATTAGGCCCACTATTGCGGCATTCTTTATAAACTGGAAATCTTTTTTTTTTTGCTTGACCAACATTTTTTCTGTCTCAGTTTGGGTAGGAGACACACATGGTGTCAAATGTGTTTCTAATTCATGAAGCAGTATGTGGATACCAAACATTATATCATCTAGTGTATTTGTATTTCTGTTTTTTAAAATATGTATCTCCGTCATGTTGTGTTTTTGTTTTTACTTTATTTTTGACAGCTTTGTATATTATTGATGATAACAATGTTGGGTCACTTTTTTTCTGGGGATATCACTAGTAAATATGCATTAATGGTGTATTACTATAAAATTTAGTCTGCAATATTTGGAGTGCTTTGCCATTCTACATGTTAAGATAAAGTATACATTATCATTTCTTAAATGTTTACTTCTTTCATATCATTGTAATATATATATATATATATAAAATGGTAATGTTCGTAGCATAAACATTGTATTTATCCCTGCCCATTCATTTATAAATACAATTGCATACATAGGTAATATTTTTTTAATTAAATTAATTATTTAATGGAACATGTGCACTTACTTTTGCTTTTATTAAATTCTTTACTCTATTAGCTGCAGTCAGTTGTCACTTAAATCAAGTCATTCCTAAGGACACATCCAGTAATCTGTTAATATTCCCCCTTACCTCTCCTATACTCTCTGCAGCTGGGACCTACACCCATTCAACTCTCATTCACAGTGGAGCAGGATATTGAAGTAAAAAATCTGAAGCCAGCGACAGTAAAAGTATATGATTATTACGAGATTGGTAAGAGATCTGATAAGGACAAATATATAGATTCTGAAATTATAAAGATAACTAAATTAACAAAAAGGTGGCAAATAACCATAATAAATCATATAAAAATAAGTTATCTTTATTTTTTTAAATATTAAAAAAAAGACGTGGATACTGTCTAATGTGCAATGTTATTCTGGGGTGACCATATCAAAGCTTTATTTTTCCTGCAAAAAAGTACTCTCTGTGTGAGGAATGTGCTTTAAATGCCAAATGAATAGGTCCTCTCAATAGACATTCAATAGGTTTAATCTTGCACTAAGTTTTGCATTAATAAAATAAAATCCTTAAGCAGAGTGAACACCAATAATACCAATCAAAAGGTGGAATAAACCACACATTCGATGGTTTGGCCGAGTGAATATACTTAAAATGAACGCACTGCCTAGAATACAATATCTCCTGAGTACACTCACGATCGCAATCCCGCGAACCTTTTTTAAGAAAATACAGACATTATTTACTCAATTCATTTGGGCAAAAAAACGCCCAAGGATACACTACCACATTCTCACTAGACCCAAAGGAAGAGGGTGGATATGCCTGCCAGAAATCTGGCTATACTACCAAGCAATACATCTTAACTGCATCATAGATTGGTCATACCAGACGACTTCTAAACTGTGGATTCCAATAGAACAAGCCCCGATAGGGGAATCATTAAAAATAATACCATGAATGCTGACATCACCTAGTGACTGGACAGTCCCTAACCACCTGACAGTGACCCCAACAATATATTCTTGGAAAAAAGATCCTTAACATGCCAACCATATCCCCAACCACATCACCACTCTATCCAATAACTAATAACCCCAATTTTATAGCAGGGAAACAGGGCCTAAAGCTGAAAATACCAAATGGTAGCGACCAAATAGAACATATTACCTTATCTGAAGTGGTAGTAGAGAAGGGAATAATACCAGTGACCCAAATGACAGAGGGGAAGATACCTTCACTTATGCAGAGATTTCAATATGAACAATTAAAACACTTTCTGAGAGCTCAGGGTATAATAAATTGGACCCCCAGGGAAATGACTACATTTGAATAACTCTGTACGAGACACAAAGCACCACAAAAACCAACCTCTCTGTGTTATAAACTCTTACAAACAAAGCCCACATACATCTACCGTATTTTACTAAAATTTGGAAGGAACATATGGTAGTGAAACTAGTGGAAGAAGACTGGACTGCAATATTTAAAACCATTTTTTACACACCTTCCAGTATCCCATTACAAGAAATTAATTACAAATTTGTTTCAAAATGGTATACCATGCCAGTCAATGTTAACAGATTTGACCAACTGCACCCACTGAGTGTTGGAGATGCACCTCAGAGAAAGGAACATTTCAGCATATAGGGTGGACTTGCGATTTAGTCTCAGGCTTTTGGAGGGAAGTGTGGAACACAGTAAATTTAGTAATGAACCTAAATATCCCCTTCACTCCGGAAGCCCTTTTATTGTTTCATTTTAATATTTCCAATCAAAAATTCAAACACTCTCTCACATATTTTATGCTGACAGCAGCTAAATGTTGTATTGTATATAATTGGAGGTCACCAATGCTACCCTCCAAGAAAGAATGGTACTTGAAAATTGAATATTTCCACGCTCTGGAAGAACTAAGATGGGGATCACTTGACAAATACCACAGATACTTAGAAATATGGCAACCCTGGAAACAATTTTTAAGGGGCACACCATTAATTAGCACAAGGTCGGAATTGCAAGAATAGAGGGAAGCTAGGAGAAACATGGGGAATAATGTGGGCAAAAAAAGGTAATGAACTAAGTTTATATATAATGTTCATTGTCTATCTTGCAATTGCAATCACAAGAGAACCAAGACTTGGGAACCTAACTCCATGAGGGATAATCTTCTCAAATAAATCATGAAACAACATTAGTACAACAGGAGTGAGAACTTCCACCATACACATCCAACTCGATAGAATCAGGATATGAGTCCGAGACTGATTGTCATTGTTGACTTAGGCATATCTAGAAATTGTTAAATGTTAGAACATGTGAAGTTGTTTAATCTACACAGAAATAATTGATATTATGCTGTTGACCTCTTGTTTCTTATGTTCTGTAAATGTCCTTTTACTACTCTTGTTTTATATTATGACATCTATGAACCACATAAAAAGGAATAAAAATAAAATATACAAAAAATAATAATAATAATAATACCAATCACTAAATAAATACCATGGAAATGGTCATTGTTCCACAGCCAATACACCAATATCTAATGAGTAAAGACTACATGACCAGAACAAACCAATAATTAAAAGATGTCATTAAATATTGATCTCTATTCAATAATTAGTGCTTAAGTGATTCAAACAAGATAGTTAAACGGACACCATAGCTTAATGTATTGGTATTTGGGCATACAGCTCTCCTTGCTGGGTCAGCAGTGTAAATGGAGATGCTGGAGCTCCTCATTGAGATGTATCGATTCAAAAAAAATCTCTATGAGGAGAGGCTGAGTGGCACAGCAAGGCATTGGCATTTTTTCCATGCATTGGCATTGGATTGACTGAGATCATTAAGACTGATAATTACAGCCAAGGAAGTGGAACAGCAGCATTAAGACTGGCACAAGGAGGGCTAAAAGGTGTTTATTTTTTTTCCTGCACATTGGGTAAAAGAAATAATTAGCAGAACACTATATAAGAACACTATATAACAACACTGTATAAGTATTTTTTTTTTTTTAAACTCTCTGATAATTAATTCTATAATATAATAATATGTTTCTTTTGTTTTTTTTCTGCAAAGGGGAATATGCCATTTCAGAATATAACTCTCCCTGCAACTCTGGTAAGATCATTGCATTGTAACTTATTGTTTGCATTCTGCTCCTTACCCAAACTAACAAGCTGTGTTACTTCACTGCAATCCTTCATCAACATTAATTCACACAGACACACACACACACAAATAAACATGACATGCTACACTAGTGTACCCACATACCTACATTAATGTATAATTATGTTCTTAACAAATAAACACCAGTCACACACAGAAACCCAATCAAAGACTGTAAGAACCATTCTAAGGGCCACTGGCTGTCACTCTGGGAGATTCACTTTGTTTGTGTGTTTTGGGTGGGAGATGAGAATTTTATTTTTTTACTTTAAAGAGAAATACATTTGATGAAAGCTCTGAGAGAAATAGCAACTACAGACTATTGTATTCATAATGTGGAATTTATACTTTAATATTATCAATGTTAATTTCATCCCGCTGGGGTGGAGGTGATTGTCTAAGAGCTGTGGGTGGATTGGATGTAGATGTGTAAATTATACGTCAGTGATGTGGATGAGAGTTACAGGATGAGGCATGGCGTCTCTCAAATTGTTCTTAAGCAGAAAATATCAAACAAAAATTGAAGTGTATTTCTCACTTGTTTTCCAGAATGTATTTTGAACCTTGTTTAAAAGTTATTGTTTTAAATGCACTAAAGGCTTGAAAAAGATAAGATTTTTCTTTCATCTTGCTGAATCAGTAAATCATTGGGTCTTAACTGCTAGACATAATAACTGAAGGCGATCTGTACCCTCCAATAAAATATCTCAGGGATCCCTTACCTGCTATTTACAACCATGCCTACCCTGTGATATTGTTTTAATAATGTTTTCAATAGAAATAAAAGAAATACCATTGCAATTTAATTTTTTATATCAAAATTAAGAAAGCAATCTAACATTGTCAAAGAAGGATAAGTAACACATTATGAAATCAGTGACTGCTCATTGTGATAAAAGCCTAGTGACTGGACAGTTATTAGTACGTCCTCCATGTGCCCCATGGGCATTAGCTAGAGGCTAAATGAAACAAAATGGAGCCACAATGGGGCTCTAATTAAAATAATAACACTGTGTCTCTTCAGACTCCACTCATGGCTGGCTCATGGGGGATATAATTGTAATAAATGGGTTATCTATCATCTTAAGAGAAGCAGGTGGGGGCTCTATTTTACAATGTTGGAGAGACAGTGTCCACACCTTCTCCAACCCATGAGCCCCTTGCCACCTGACACATTTTTAAAACAAACTTGTTACTTCCCCAGCTGGCAATCAGTTAACTGGTCCTGTTCAGTCCTGGTAACTTAGCTTAGTCAAGCTAAACTCAAGAGGCAGCAATTGCCTAGATCACCTGCCTTGCAAAGACCTCTCATTGAACTGCATTTGGAAGTCTGTGATTGGACATCCACAGAAAGTCTGTTCTGGGTAAAAAGGGAGCAGCTTGCAAAGGCTTCAGACAGCAGGTCTGACACTTTTGAGAGCTGTTTTAGATAACATAAAAATCATGATTGCATGCATGCATGCATGTTTGGGGCTTGGGTTTAAGTCTGCTAAAGAGTGCTTTTTTGATTGGCCAGTGAAGGGTATACATGAAAATGTCAGTATCGATGTCATTACAAAGTGCTGTCATGAGAATTTCTTAATATTGTTAATACTTGACTTTGTATGTGTTTAATTTTTTTAATATATTTTTTTTTAGATGAAAAGACAAACTATTAAACATGAAGACTGGAAAAGCAGAATAATATAATACGAAGAACAAAGCCAGTGGATGTTCACTACATATTTGTAATATCATTAACTAAATACAATTGTCTTCTTCATGCATTGTCATGTGGATTTAATTCTATAATTTGCATATAGTTACATAATTGCATAGCTTCATAGAATTATATACTTGGAAAATATTAAGTCCATGACTCATTTTGTTTTCTAAAGTAAACATGTTTATGGTTTTTAACCTTTCTTTAGGACTAACATCTTCCATTCCCCTAATACATTTTGTAGCCCAACTCTGCACTCTCTATAGTTCCATAACATCTTTCTATAAAACAGTTCCCCTAATTTGTAATTGCAACATGTATTCAAGGTATGGCCTTCCTTTTAATTCCAACAGACTGACATCTTATGTGGTGAAAGAATATAAAATATAATACGACCTTCAATAATAGAGGCAGTCTGAAGTGATTGAGTTATATGCTGCAGTGCTGCCTGGCTATGTTTAGTGAGCTGTTACTTCCTCTCAGTAGATTAGAAGAATTATGTTAGCTGCAGGAGCTGCTGTGATTTCTTTGTGATTAGCATTATCCGATCCTCTGGAGCATGGCACAGTCAAAGTGGGAAAAGGATGTGACGTTGACCTTCTGTCTCAAACCCCTCCTCCAGAGTCAGACCTCTACCACAGGGAGCTTTCAAGTCACTGGCAACCTGATTTGGAGGCTGATGATAGGCTGGGAGCTGAGCTGCAGGCTGAACGTGCTGCCTGAGTAGTGTTCAAAGCGGATAAGGCTAAGCACAAAGAAATCACAGCAGCTGCTGCAGCTAACATAATTCTTCTAATCTACTAAGCGAAAGTAACAGCTCACTAAACTTAGCCAAGCAGCACTGCAGTATATACCTAAAGCATGTCACACTGCCTCATTATTGAAGCTTGCATTGTATGTTATATTCTTTCACCTCATAAGGTGTCACTCTGTTGAAACCCTACACTTCGTATGTTTTATTTGTATATTGGTGTTTAGGGGTACACCATCTAGAAGGTTTTCTGGTTTGTTTTTAGCATATAGTGGAGATATTTTGAATAGATTATTATTAATTCCCTTTAATTTATGAAGAGGCAAGACCATGTTTTATGTGTAACAATACTCTACTGGCCTTAGTAACTGCTACCTGACTGCACATTCTTACTTAGTCTGTTGTCTATATCTGTTATCACGCAATATTGTTTTCCCTGATTCAGTATAATTTGTTCGTACATTTCTCAGCTCAAAATACATTTGTTTAAGATTACTACATTAAATCTCACCTGTCACTTTACTGCTTTGTCCCCTAATTTTCCAAATCAAAAGTATTCTGCCACAGTTTTTTTTTTTGCTCGTCAAGCATATTTTGTGCCTGGTTAATGCATCGTCTGTAAAAAGTTGGTGGATTAAAATAATAAATTACTGTTTGGAGCGTCATGCTTGATTTTTGTGCCTGCAAAGTACTTTCTAAGAGTGAAAGATGTTAAAGCATGTATTTACAATATATAAAGGTCATGCCAAAAAACACTACTAGTGATGTATAATACCTAACTTTTTTTCTGGTAGAAAGATTTTGTAATAACCAGAGTTCTTTTTTTATTTTTTTTAGCTAAATCAAATACAGCAATATGTGCTAGGTAAACACCTCTATAGAAGCCATGCATGCGGATATTACATATCATATAAAGAAGTCTGACCCAGACAATTACTTGTACTGTTTGGGAAAGTTATATGTTCGGAACAAAATGGCATAGGAAATAAAATTACATAACTGAATTATTAGGCATTAGGCAAAATGCCTGAGTATTGTCATGTCCTGTTCCATTCTGCAGAGATTTCTGGTCTTGGCTTCTGATATCCAGTACTCTTTTTACAATTCTTGTTTTGTGTTTCTTGGTTTTTCTGGTTATCTATTCTATGTCTGGTTTTCTTTATGCTGGGTTTTCTGGGTTCATTCCTTTATTCCGTTCCTGGAATTCCCAGTCTCTTGGATTCCTTTATATGTTTGTTTTTTGTTACCACACCAAGTCCTTTGCCATTTATCCTTTTTGTTTCAGTGTGATCCTGCTAGCAGTGGTCTCAATCCTCTGCTCCTTTCTTTGCAGGTAAGTACTGTGTGTGTTTTATTGTTGAACTTATAGTCATGCATATCTAGGCAGTTAGGACCCACCGTAATTGGAGTACTTTGGCGCAGTGGTGGGCTGCATACATCTTGGCCATTTATGTATGTCTAAATCTTCAATGTTTATTACATATATAGTACTTAGTTATTTCTCCTCTTGTTTTACCTTGTATCTCTTGTTTTATTTTATTTTGTCTTGTATTTCCAGTTCATGTACAGTCCTGTCCAGCGGCGTACATACCGCAATCACAGGGGTCGCAGCTTCGACCGGGCCCATGACTCCACGAGGCCCGGCGGACCCCTGCGACCGTGTGCCTGCCGCAGGTGAACGGGCCCATCGGGTGGCCCATGCTGTTAGGGCCACCCTATGGAAATGAATATCATCATCAGAGTTGGCCCGGTAACAGCGTGACTGGGCCCCCTCTGATGTCAGACGCTGGGAGAAAGTGACTGTCGCAGTCACTCCTCCCAGCAACCACCAGGAGCCGCACAGGAGGAAGCAGAGGGAGTCAGAGTTCCCACTCTGACTCCCATCAACCTGAGCCACCACTGGACCCCAGGGAAATATTTTGCATGTGTGTGTGTTAGTGTATGTGTGTCTATGTATGTGTCTGTATGTATATGTGTGTATGTGTGTGTATGTGTGTGTCTATTTAAATGTCTGTATGTATATGTGTCTATGTATGTGTGTCTGTCTGTCTGTGTCTATGTATGTGTATGTGTGTCTGTATGCATGTGTCTGTGTGTCTCTGTATGTATGTGTCTGTGTGTTTATGTGTGTCTCTGTATGTATGTGTCTCTGTGTATGTCTATGTATGTGTATATATGTATGTGTATATGTTTCTGTGTGTCTGTATGTATGTGTGTATGTGTCTGTGTGTGTCTATGTATGTGTCTATATGTGTGTCTGTATGTATGTGTCTGTATGTATGTGTGCCTGTATGTATCTGTGTGTATGTATGTGTGTGTGTCTCTGTGTATGTGTATGTGTGTCTGTATGTATGTGTCTGTGTGTGTGTGTGTCTCTGTCTCTGTGTGTCTGTATGTGTCTGTCTGTATGTATGTATGTGTATGTGTGTCTGTATGAATGTGACTGTGTGTGTGTCTGTCTATGTATGTGTCTGTACGTGTGTACATATCTGCATAATATCAAGTTTCTAGGATCTGCAGAAGCTGCATCAGGGCCCTGGTATGTGGCCGCACAAACCTTGGCGCTCAACACCAGGGAAAGTGTGGTTACCCTGCACCAGACCCTGATTGTTCATTTCCATGCTGTGACTTCTACAATCATTAGGCATACAGGGGTCCCAGTCTCTGGACCGCCACCCGTTACAAGTATAACCTTGGGACCAAAAAGATCCTGAGCTGTCTGTGATTTTAATGTGAACGATGATTGAACAGTGTGATTGAAATTTAGTAAGCTCATGCTTCTCTGCGTTGAGAAAGTGAGATAGTTGAGCATACTGGAGGGATGAAGGTTGGCTGTTGGGCAGTTAAGTGGATAGTGGTTTGATTCCCTGTTCACTTTGGACTTAACCCAGAGTAAGATATTTGGTTTAGGAAAAGGCTTTAAAAGATTTATTTTGAAGACCTTGCGGGAAATCCAGATTAGATATTCTGCAGTAGAGGGGCACTGGATGAGGAAAGATAAGTATAAAATCCCTTACTTTTGACCAAATTCAAAGTGTGGGTAGGATGGTGGAGTGTGACGAGTGGTCAGGGTCTAGAGCAAGTAACCCCTTCTTTTGCCAGGGTGTACTAAATAGGGGGACCTGAAAGAAGCCACTTTCTAATAGGGCCAAACATTTTTGGTTATAGGGGTAAGCCATTTCAAATATTCTAGTGAAGTCGATTGCTTTGCAGTATAATTCCATATTGGATAAACCTAGGCCACCGTTAAGTTTATGTAGTCTCAGGATGTGATTGGTAAGTCTGGGATATTTATGGGACAAAATAAACTTGGTAAAAAGTGACTTAATTGTGGAAAAAAGAATTAGGTAACATAATGGGGAGGTTTTGTATTAGATATAAGATTTTAGGTAGGGTATTAATTTTAAGTATGTTCATTCTACATAGCCAGCCAAAGTAGGGTGTATTACAGTTAGTGAGATCCCTATGGATTTCCTGAATATTAGGCAGAAAATTTTAATCGTAAAGCTGAGTAAATTAGGAAGATGTACCCCAAGATATGTAATCGCCTTGTCAGCCCATGAAAATTGTGATGATGCTTGCAAGGCCAATTTAGTGGAACGATGCAGCAAAAGACAAAAAGGTTGCACCAATTATGAACAGATGTGTTTAGAATATTAAAACACTAAAACAAATAAACAAAGAACAAGTAGCATATATAAAAGTCAAAAGTCAGTGTGTAAACGTGCAAAGGTAGCAGCCAAATCCAACAGAGGAGTTTTTTAGCCTTTTCTATATTGATATCGAGTTCAAAGATTCTTGCAAACTGTATAGATATAAAAAAACAAAACAAAGAAGAAAGCCAATAGTGCAATATGTTCCAATATTATGTGGTACTTTTAAAGTGCAAATCTTATATAGTCCTACTCACATTTTATAGACTTAAGACCAGCTCTAGTATGATCGGTGTACAGTGCTATCATCCCCACTTGTAGGATATGTGTAGTAATGTAGTCAACAGCACAGTTTTTACAGTGGTATATGGACCATGAGCCCCAAAAATACAACAATAGTGCTCACTGTCTACACTAAACCAGGAGTATAAATAAAAATAAATGTACTCACATTTAATTGAGCAGACACACCGCTCAATGAATAAAGCGTGAGTAGTATAATCCCCACCTAGGATTATTTTGTTGAGTAATGAACAGGATGCCAGGCAAAAAAAAAAGCAATAGGAAAGGAAAATGGCACAATCACAGTATAAAAGTAGACAAAATCACCTTCATTAGAATTCTTTAAAAAATCCACAGCATGTTTCACCACACAGGGCTTTATCAAGTGGAAACAAAACAAAATCCTGTTGGTGAAATATGTTGTGGATTTTTTACCAAGAAAGAGAAACTGAAAAGATTCATATCCGCAAACCAGCTGCTTAACGGGTTTTGTGCCACATGGCACTTAATCTAAAGGACAATATGCTGACATGCTGTTGTGATATTTAAGCCCTCAATACAACATCCAGCTAATTGACGCAGAGCGTTAACCCCTTAAGAACAATGCAAAAGAGGAGAATGCAGCACCTGAAAAAAACTGCCGTATGCAAATTAACCCAATGAAAAAACAACAATCAAATAGATTAAAAAAATAAGTATAGATACTGTAAGATACCGTAAGTATCAAGTATTAATAAAGATCAAATTATAGCAAAAAATACACTTCATGAGAAAATAATAAATATGCAAAGCACAAATATAAAAAAAGTGGACGTTTCCAGCATGGACTTTGAATCTTTATATAGAGCACTATATCTGAGAAATCTTTTCATGTCAATAATTGTCTGTTATTCTTCGAAAATGGAAAAGAAAAGAGAAACCTTCTCTGTTAATTTGTATCTCTATCATATTGTATTATGATAAAAGGAAAACAGCCTTGAATATTAGATGCAGAAAATACTGTATTTTCCGGCGTATAAGACTACCCCAGTTAAAATATAGAGTTTGGGATATACTCGCCGTATAAGACTACCCCTCTTCCAATGCACACCAAATAAAAATTAGCCATGATGTACAGTGAGCAGACAGAGCTACACAGCAAGACATTAAATAATAATGATAATAATTATAATTATTATTATTTGCCAATCATTACATTGGCTTCTTCTACCCTTCAAGACCCAATTCAGACTACTAACATCTACCTACAAAGCCCTCAAAATTTCCACTCTTCACTATATTTTTTCTTTACTAACAAATACACACCTTCATATTCCCTTTGCTCTGCGAGCGACCATCATTTTTTCATCTGCTTGTTCCTGCAAGTTGTCTTATCCCTCAGACCCTCCTCCTCTCTGACTTTCTGTTATACCTTGTGACGAGAGCAATCTTGCCAAATTGCATTGGAGAAGCCTGGTTGCTCGCCTGTTGCCTTTGGATTATGGCCCCATGTTAAAAGGCTTGATTTTCCCCTGCAAAGACAAGAAAGCCGGGTCATTTGGTGCTTGCCCTGTTTGAGCAGTGATACCCCAGATAGCTATGCCATGGAGCCCATTCGTATAATGAAAGACTATGGGAAAGACTTTGGCTCCATGGCAATTGAACTGTATGTGTGTGCTCTGAGCGCCATTCAGTAATAATGTGCGCTTAGACCTAAGCTATCTGGGCATATGTTGCATGTCTGTATTTTATGTCATAAATGTAACCTTGTGTATTTTATTGTATTTTACTGTCTTTTTGCTGCCATGTGTTCAATGGAGTTTTGCCTCTGTCTTTGGAGATAATTGGATTACTTCTAATTATCTCCAGGATAGAAGACTCTGTGGAACTGGTTTTGGGCAGAAAAGCATTGCTTCCTGTGGTCACAAAGGACTACGATCTATCTTTTGAACCACTGGACCAATTTGTATGATTTTGACGTATGTTTGTATTTGGAGTATGCTGATTCTGAAAATGTAAGTGAATGTGATGCATACTTTTCAAGTTATGAATAATGTGAAAAAATTGTATTGCTCTGCTTGTGCTAAATTACATTACCCATTGTGTAAGTTAATTGAATCACATGCAGAGGGGAGGAATTTGTGTGGGAGTGCCTGAGTGTATTGTATGTGTTTATTGGTTGTGTTCCAAAACCCTGTGGGTGGTACTAATGTGTAAGAATGTGTACATAAGTACAATAAACCCACAGCTCTGTCTGACCACTGCTTGACCCTCAACACGGAGCCTTGTCTCATCTTTGGGGGGATTTACTGTATGCTGATAGCGACTGATTGCTAGGAGTGTAAGCCGCTTGGAGGCTTTTCCTATTTGTCTGCTAGCAGCTATTCATATGGTTCCAGTTCGTGTGTTTGGAGTGCTGTATTGGATGCCGTTCGGGAGTTTGGAGCATTCACTTATTGGCGGTTCATGAGTTTGGTACTTTACAGTAGCTGTGCCTGCATCTCTGGAAAGGGGACCGATCGCCTAAACGTTTTTTACCCCTTGTGTGCAAAACGGTCCGTTACATACCTCTTCTGTGTCTTTGTCTTTACCCCTTTCTCAAAGACTATAAGCAGGCTGAAATATACCCCCCAATTCTTTTTACTTTTTTTTTACACTTTTTTTTTTACATTTAGAACTTGCCAAATATTTGCATCATCATTATATATTTGGTTATTCAATTCACAATAACCACAATTACCAATCTGTGCCACAGGGCTGCTGGCAGTTCCTGTCCCACCAGGGACAAGGCTTCCCCCTCCCTAGTCCAAGGTAAGACTCAGGGAGGGTGGGGATACACTTTTTTAATTCTAAGCAGCCTCTGCCCTCCCTCTACAGCCCTCACCCCCCTTTACAGTCCCTAATCCCTTGACTACAGCCCCTAACACCCCTTAGAGCCCCTGCCCCCTCTACAGACCCTCTCAGCCCCTGTCCCCCTCTACAGCCCCTGCTCCACCTTCTATAGCTCCTGTGCCTCCTCTCAGCCCCTGTACCCCAACCACAGCAGTTGCCCCCTTTAAAGCCACTGTGCCTGCCTATGCAGCCACCATCTGCTTTCTATACCCCTGTGTCCCCCCCCCCCACGTTCTACTCACCTCCCCTTCCCTGTGCAGAGTGGGTGGCCGAGCTCCTCTTCGTCCTGTCAGTCCGGCTGGGTACCACGTGGTACAGGGGATTCAGTTACCTGTTCCCGGCCGGACTGAAAGGAAGTGCACACTGAGTGCTCACTTCCTTTCAGTCCGGCCGGAAACAGGAACTGAATCTCCTGTACCGCGCGGTACCCGGCCGGACTAACATGACGAAGAGGAGCTCGGCCACCCACTCTGCACAGGGAAGGGGAGGTGAGAAGAAAGGCAGTGCGGCAGCCGTCTGAGCGCTCTCTATAGAGCGCTCAGGCAGCGCAGCATTAGAAGGGCCGGCGATGGGGGCGCAGGGCGCCCCCTCCTATATGGCGCCTTATACCCGGCGTATAACACGACCCCCAACTTTGGAGAAGATTTTCCAGGGTTAAAAAGTATACGCTGGAAAATACGGTAATTTTCTATGACTTCGCTTTACTAATCTTGCATTTTTTTCTTGATATGCATAGGACCCAGTCTAATATAAGGACTGGGTCTAGAGCTTCAGTTCTAACTATGAGGAGGACTCTATCTAGTCATCAGGGAAATCAAAAGATCTCTGTCCTCGTCCCTGTTCCCCCTCACTATATCCACGCAGTTTTGCAGTTAAGAGGCCCCTTGCATTCCTGACTGTTCTCAATGATTCAGGGAGCAGCTGTGAGGGATCTCCTGAAGTGGTATGCACACCCTGGGGGTCTGGCTAGAGGTGCAAACTATAACCAGACCCCCAGGGAATGCCCTCCACCAAACTACAAGTGTTCATATCCCTTCCTGCCAGATGGTCAGCAGGAGTGGAACAGATACACATTTACAAAGAACACACAGCACACACTCCCCCCACACTTAGCGTCCTTACCATCTTCAGCCCAAACAATCAACACACATAAGACTCATCCACCACACATAACACTCAGTCACCCCACACAAGATTCCCCACCCTTAAAACACAAATTCCTTACAATGCATACAGTGCAATGCATGTAAGAGTACATATATATCAAACAAAATGTAGAGAGCAAGGAACACAACGTTCCAAGTCCCTGTATAGCCGCCGCACCCACCACCTCAAAACCTCCCCAAAAGGGGGGCAGTGGCTGCAGGGGTCACGCAGAGACAAACGTACCAGTATGAGACTCCAGCTGTCTCAGAGGGGCTTAACCCCAAATATAAACACAAGAACAAAGAAATATGCAGACCGTCTCAATTATATGAATGAAACTTACTGCATTGACTGGAAAAAATATATCTATGTATAGCGCGATGTTCCAAATATAGAACCTGGCTATTAGAAATAATATGGTCAGAGACCCTAATTAAACAAAGTATATACAGGTGAACCTACAATCCTATGCCAGCCCAGGGTAGTATAGATCAAGAGGTAGTAAAAAAGATAACCTCACTCCCCCTTATAATTAAGCTTTATTGTGATCTGCTATAGGGATAGGAGTATACAGTAGCTAAATCTCTATAATCCATGCATCCTAGGAAGTATCCTGGTCACACTAGAAACATATTAAGAAAAACAGAGAGAGATAAGGACTGAAAATAGAAGTAAAAAAATCAGTCAAAACAGACTGATAATTAGCATTAATAAAGCCTCTCTCCCTGTAAAGCTAGCTAGATAGGCATAGGAAAGAAAAGAAGAAAACGATATAAAATAAAGTTAAATTAAATGGTGATCATGGTGCTCCAAACACCAGTGCCCAGTGCAGAAAAAACGCCCAACGTACGTTTCGGTGCAGAGAGATGCACCTTCGTCAGGGGCCAACAGATAACTGAAGAGAAGCCTCTTAAATACCCCAATTGCCAGGAAGCATGATTACCTTGTAGCCAATGGAGTGTGGGGGTGTATACCTCCCCAGCTGCCTCTAATATCCTGGCTATTCCTCTGTGATTGCTAATGCTCATTCATCTGTATGAAGGTGAAATCCCTCAGCCGGTCACGTGACCTGTGATGTCATGCGTCACGTGACGTATCCGGCATTCTCCTAACGGGGCGTGGCTCATTCATCATAGTGCTGCAGTACCGCCCATCCGAGCCTCTCCTGTCCATCATCCTCACATGGGTTGATCCCCTGTGACAGATGGGCGGAGCTAGGTATTCTCTGTGTATGGAGAAACCGAAATTGTCCAAATTAAGGCTCAAATTGATAAGCTGCATATTGATGATGTATCATTCCAAAGTACCAATGTGTACTATATAGGATGTACAGAATCAGCTGAAAATATAAGGCAGTGCTGATTACATATTATTCTAATACTGAATCTATTAAAGATGTAGTAAAAAATATGAGAGGACACCCCAATAATAAGAGAAAAATTGAATGATAAGGGGTCCTGGGATGTTGTTAACTCCCACTCCCCCGTCCCAGGCAAGGATATATGATAATAAATATATTTAGTGTTCATAGGACCCATGCTAGGATGCAAAATTAGCATGGTACATCCTGCCGCTATATCCTGTACACTGAGTCACTTGACAATATGAACCTCTGAATGACCAGATATGACTTAGTCCGTAAAATAAAAATAATAATAATAAGGCTAGCATTCTTTTTGTCAAGAGGTCTTAAAACTTATGGCACCTGAGGTTCCTAGTTGGTCTCCCATACAAGTACTAGCCAGGCCCAAGTCTGGATGGCTTCTGAGATCTGACGAGATCAGGCATTTTCAGACTGGTATGGCCATTGATATTTTCATTCAAGTGCTCAGCAAGCTTGGTCTAGGAACATTATTGGTATTATAGTCATTATATAGCTATTTCCTTGGGAGAATTCAAGCATTAGCAATTTAGTGGTCCTCATCCGGTAATCATGAGAATAAATTTATATGATAAAAAAAATAATATAAAAAATAATAATAAATAGAAAAGAATAGTGATAATAGTAGTAATAGTAATAAGCAAAGAATATACCCATTGTGGAACAAACCGCGCTATATTTACAAATTTACAAGTGTATCAGGCCATAAGGCTCACTCAGAATAAATTAGTGCAGAGATCACCCGCCGAGTACCACTGCCCGTATATAGGTCTGAGTCCCACACCTGGTATCAGTGATCTGCAATAAATGGTGTATATGAGAAACCTTCGTTAAGTGACAGGGTTTTGAGCTTATAGATCCAGAAGCTCTCCCTTTGGAGTAGCTTCTTGTCTAAATCCCCCCCTCTTGGTCCCAAGGTAACCCTTTCAATACCACTAAATCTGATTCCTTCAGATGAGCCCCCATGATGTAGTTTCAAATGTTTAGAGATAGGGGTGTCGATTTGTCTTGTGGGGTTTACCGAATTGACATGTTCCCGTATCCTAAGTTTAAACATCCTAAAGGTTTTTCCCACATACAGTTTTTTGCACGAACAGGAAAGTAAGTAGATAAGCCCTTTGGACTGACAGTTAAAGAAATTCTTTACTTTGAATTCCTGTGTGCCGAGGGAGTCTGGGAATGTTTTGGAGGGTCTACGTATAAACCTACATGCCTTACATTTCCCACATTGATAGGTCCCTAAGACTGGGGACTTCAGCCATGATGTTTTCTGGGGTGTAGTCTTGAGATGGCTAGGGACCAACATGTCCTTGATGTTGCGTCCCCTTCTTGCTGTTACTGAAGCCTTATGTGTGATTACCTTCCGTAAGTGTGGGTCTTGTTGTAAAAGGGGCCAGAATCTGTCCAAGATTTGCATCATTTGATGCCAGCCGGCATCAAAATTCCCTATACATCTTATGACTGCCTGTGATGGCTCTGGGTTATGTTCGATTAGAAGGTCTTTCCGATCTGACAGTAAGGCCCGTTTATAAGCGTGCTTTAAGCATCTATTCGGGTACCCCTTTTGTTTGAATTGGAGTTGTAAGGTCTTAGCCTTTAGTTTAAAATCATCCAATGTAGAGCAATTGCGTCTAAGGCGCAAGTATTGTCCAGTTGGAATCCCTTTCTTTAGGGAAGGGGGATGATGGCTAGACCAATTCAGCAAGTTATTAGTTGCCGTTGGTTTACGGAACAGAGTTGAGATGAGGCACCCTTCTTCTGTCAGCGAGATGGTGAGGTCCAGAAAATTAATTCTATTGCCACCAATTTCACTAGTCAGTTTGAGATTAATATTGTTGGAGTTGAGAGTGTGGACGAAGTCCAAAAACAGTTCCGAGGTATCTGTCCAAATGATAAACACGTCATCGATGTATCTTTTCCAGATTTTTATATGCTTTGTGTATTTTACCATATGATCCGTGAATACCATTTGAGACTCCCACCACTCCAGGTGGAGGTTGGCATATGATGGGGCACAAGCCGTCCCCATCGCAGTCCCTCTCACCTAGTGATAATACTTTCCCTTAAAGGTAAAGTGATTGTGTGTTAAGATAAATTGCATCAGATCTTGGACGAATTTATTGTGTCTTAGTGATATTACTGGTTTACTGTCCAAGCTAGCTTTCAGATGTTCTAGTCCAACTTCATGTGGAATCGAGCTGTACAGGCTCTCCACATCAAGGCTACATAAAATAGCGTGACCACTAATTTTTATTCCTTCGATGATACTTAATGTGTGTTTCGTGTCTTTAAGATATGAAGGAAGTTGAGTGACTAGTTTCCTCAGGATCTGATCCACATAAAGACTGATGTTTTGAGTCAGATTACCTCTACCAGAGACTATGGGTCTCCCATTTAGTACCGGTTGTTGTTTGTGTACCTTTGGGAGTGCATAGAAGGTGGCAGTGACGGGATTCTTGACAAACATAAAATTATATTCATCCCTGGAAATTAGAAGTTGAGATAAAGCTGTATCAAGGATTATTTTCAACTCTGCCAAGTATTTTTTAGTGGGGTCACCCTTTAGAACTTCATACGTATTGCTATCCCCAATTAGTCTTTGTACCATTGAGACATAATCAGGTTTGTTTAGAATGACTGTATTGCCCCCTTTATCGAAGGGTTTAAAGATAACCTCATCCAGTTCTTTAAGTTTTTTAAGAGAGATATTTTCTTGAGGAGAGATGTTGCTATTAGGTTGGATTGGAAGGTCTTTTAAGTTGATTTTTTCAATTTCATTGCATGTCATCTCCACAAATAGGTCTATATATTTAAAATCCACTAAGTGTGGAGTGAACATGCTTTTCTTTTTTAGATGTGTAAAGGGGGGATATCTTACTTCGGATTCGTCATTCGCAATAAGGAGGTCAACCAGCGTATCAAGTGCACCCATATCTGAGACTTGTAAACCAAGATCTTTTGCCCTTTTTTCCTCTTTCATATAGTGAAATTTATGCAGAGCCAGTTTTCTAGCAAACAGGTGTATGTCCTTTGTCCAGCTAAACTTATCGAAGTCTGAGACTGGGACAAAGGACATACCCCGCTGTAAAACCTGCAACTCTGCTTGAGTCGGAGTGTATGAGGACAAATTGATGATCTGGTTATTTACAGTTGTCTTATCTAATATCTTTTTCTTCCCCTGAAGTGTTGGGGTGGTCTGCCTCTGTACCTTGTCCGTGGGGCTGTACTTTCTTCCATATTGGGTTGGCCTAAAAAAGAGACCCCTCTTTTTAATATACTTTTTGAATTGCGTTCTGATGAGGCAGACGTACTCGCTTTAGAGGAATCTGAGTCTGAACCACTCGTCTCATATTCTGACGTTGATATTGGTTCAGAGAAACTCCTTCTTGGATTCCTATTCTTTCTATAAACATTACCACTTTTAAAGTCATTATTGTCTCTGATGAATTTGGAATGTTTCCGAATCTTAATATTTTGTTGGAATCTATCCAAATTGCTCTTAAGTTTTGTCTCTAGTGCTTCAAAGTTAGGTTCCCCTTTAAAAGCTGCAATTCTGTCTATCTGCTCATCCACTTCTTTATTAACCCTTTCCAGTCTTTTAGTTTCAAATTTACAAAGGATTTCCATAAATCTCTTGGAACATGTGCCTGCAGCTTCCTCCCACTCTTTTGTAAATTCATCCTCCTCAATATGGGAAGCTGGTATGTTCTGTACCCTTAATCC